CTAGTCAGTCGCCACAGCTCCCCCCCTCTCCAGCGGTCCAGCCAGAGCCATCGCCGCGCCGCTCCGCGAGGCTCAGCCGTTCCCCTTCAGCGCACCAGGAGGAGCCCGCGCAGTCACCACGCTCAGCCCAGCCCACTCCAGTCACCGAGACGCAGCCACGCCGTACTACCAGGCCGTCGCGGATCCCAAGACCCAAAGCTCAAGTCTCGCCCGTCCAGCGCACCTCAGACTGGCCGCCTGTCGACCACGCCCGTCAGAAGTGGGCGCACGAGGTTGACGCCGACGTGCCTACACAGGCTGCCCCGTCCGAGGTAGTCGAGCCTGTCCAGCCCGTCTCGCCTCAGCCACCAGCCCCCGTCGCAGGGCCGAGCCGCCAGCGGCTGCACGAGCGATACCCCATCCCCGCGCACTGTGTCGAAGAGGGCCTGGTCCACTTCGTCGTGCATGAGCGCGTGATTGACGTCACGCTCGTTAAGGACGAGAGCGACGAGGAGGCCTCCGCCGAGGGGGCCACCGTCGAGGACAGCAGAGACGATGAGCCCGCCCCAAGGCATGAGGACGAGCAGGACCGAAATCTCAAAGCCGAGTATCTCTCCGAGGACGAGTTCCCGCCCATGGACGGCAGCGGGGGCATGGCGTACGAGGAGGAGGAGGAGTCGGGCATACCTTATGCTGAGGAGGACGAGGTCGGCCACACAGCCGAGGTCTCGCACGATTCCGCGCACGACATGGACGTCTCGCATGATGCCTTTGCGAACGACCGCACGGTGGACGCGGAGTACTCACTCGGGAGCCAGCAGATGGGCGACGAGTCGCTCGATAACCAGCCGGTCATCGGCGGGGAGTCGCTTGAGGAGCATCACCATGACTTGAACGACTCGCTCGAGCACCACCACGGCTTGGACGAGTCGCTTGAGAATGAACACTCGCACGAGAACCAGCCAATGGCGGGCGACGACTCGCTGGAGCACCAACACTACGGCATGAACAACTCACTTGAGAACGATCACTCGCGCGAGAGCAACGACATGGGCCGGCACCGCGTGCTTGACGACTCGCTCGACGACGGGCTCGAGAACAGCGACTCGCGCGTCGAGTACGACAACGAGCCGTATGACGAGGTGGCTGTCGTGCCGGGCGAGCACCACTGCGGGCTCACGGACAACTCCACGGACGACGAGGGTGGGGGTGACGACCCGCGCGAGGATGAGCACGAGCATGACGGACACGAGCAAGATCAGCTCGAGCGCGAGCACGAGCATGAGCACGAGCGTGGAAATGAGCACGAGCACGACTACGACCAGCTCTACGGCCACGCGCATAACGACAACGATGCCCCCTCACCACCTGCACGCGTGCCTCGCGTGTCTACTCCTCACGCCGCATCCCCGGCGTCTTCCCATCGGACCCCTAACACAGCCGCGCAGCGGCAAATGCCGGGCTCGCGTTCATCGGCGCCGTCCCCTGCGACTCCTGGACGTGCTTCTAGTCACGCAACCCCAAGTCAACGGACGCCCTCTGGAACACGCGCCACGTCGGGCGGACGCATGCCTAGCCACCGCACACCGTCGGGCCGCACGCCTTCTGCGGGCACCTCCACCACGACGCCCGCGGTCACGTCCGAGCCCCAGCCCTCCCTCGGTCGTGAGTCCCACGACTACAGTGCCCTCGGGCTACTCGGCGGTGCTGCGGCGCTCAGCACTTTGCGGCAGACGGGCCCGCCTCATGGAAGCCAGTCTCTCCCGTCAACGACGCCGCAGGTCGCGCCACCATCATCCCGTTCCAATCTTTCCGGTACGCCGCTCCTGCCTCCGCCAGCGTTCAGAGGCCAATCCACCACGCCCAACATTCCACAGCGCCCCGTGTCGACTACCCCTGCGGTTCCGCCTCCGCGGCGCACCTACACACAGCCCGCGCAGGTGGCCCACGCTCCAACAGTCCCCCGTCAGCGGAGTCCGCCTCGGTCTGCACCTCAGCCTCCTCATCGCTCTGCACCTCCACCTCAGCCCGCTCAACCTGTGTCCCGCTCTGCACCCCAGACTGCACCGCACGAGACGCAGGCCCAGGGGAGCAGCAAATCCTTCGATGTCGCAGGAGCTGGGGCAGCCACGTCACTCCAGGGCGCGCATCAGCCGTCCAGCACGCCTGCTCGACGCACGCAGGCGCTGCGGTCTCAGCGACCTAACAATACTCAACACGGCGCGACTGCTGAGCCTCAGCACGATCTCACCCCAACAGAGCCGGCGCGCGGGACCCGTTATGAGCCTCGTCGCAACACTCTTGTGAACGAGCTACATCAGCAGCCACGCCACGTCCCCGAGGCGTATCGCCCGGCTAGACCGTCGGCGCTCTCGCGCCAGGTTGTCCCCTCAGCTGAGTCAACGCCCGAGTCGCGCGGTGGCCTCAGACATTCGCGCAGCTTGCCTGAGCCCCGCAGCCTGCATGACGAGTTGGCACAGAGCCAGCGTGACGATGAGCGCACGTATGACCGCCAGCAGCGCGCTCGCCCGGCTCAGTCGGACGCGTTCGAGGACGACTCGCTGGAGGAGATTGCTGCCCAGCAGACTCCAGGTCCCAGCGGCACGAGCCACTTCGACAGCCCGGCTCCCCCCGTGCCAGGGGGCTGGACCCGCACGCCCCGCGCCCTTCCTAGCTCGGCGCGCAGCGTAAACCGCGGCGCCCGGTCATGGACGACATCGGACTGGCGGCGTCTGGAGAGTTTCTACGACGCGGAGCGCTCGCGCGCAGCAACATGGACGCCATTCACGCGCTCGCGGCAGTGGAGCGTCGGCCGCGTCGTGGACAATTTCATTACGCGTCTGGGGCTTGAGGAGCGCGAGTTGGTCGGCGAGTGGTCGCGCGAGGACCTCGAGCTCCGGGTACGTGCGCTGGACAATGCGGCGCAGTATCGCGAGCGTGTGCGCAGCTTGAGGCGCAGCCAGCGCGGGGTGGAGGAACGCCAAGAACCGCCGTCGACGCTGAGGAGAGTCGTGGATTGGGCGCTCGGCCGATCGACGTCGGCGCCTGCGCCACCGCCGCAAGCGCCGAGGCGGCGTGAGCGTACAGATCCAGAGATGGGCTTCCTACGCCGTGTGGACGAAAGCTTCGACCCCGACGTCACTATCGCCACCACGCCGTCGCAGCCGGCGCGCGCGAATCCGCGCCGAGAGGCCGCCTCCAGACGTGAGCAACGCACCCATGATTCCAGCTATGAGCGGTGGGCGGCTGAGGACGAGCGTGAGCAACCCGAAGAGCATCGCCGACTCCAGCCGCACGAGCGTGAGCGCCGAGCTCTAAGCCGACCCCGGTCCCGGTCCCACTTGGGCAACGTCGACCGCGTGCTACGTGAGCACGGCTCCGCCGGCCGGCGATCAGCCGATGAGCCCACCACCTACTATCCCGACACGACGTATGACGACGCGAACCGCTCGATCTCGCCACAGCCCACGGAGATCGAAGACGAAAGCTACCGGTACAACGCCTCCTCGCCGCGGCTGTACAACCTGTATCCGCCGCTGCCGGAGCGCTCCGCCGCGCTGGCGCACGCGCAGCCGAGAGCCATAGGCTCGCGCTCCCGTCCGCGCGCGGCCACCCTCCCCTCGCCGATGCGAGCGCGCGCGGGGACGCACGCCGCGGGCGCGTTCACGATCCACGCGTCCGCGGATGTGAGCTACGAGAGTGCGCGGCGCGCGCGCGAGCGCGAGTCGGTCGCGGCGCTGCGCCGCGTCCGGTCCGAGGTGGAGCGGCTGCGCGCTGCCGGCCACGATATAAGCGACGAGAGCTTCGAGAGCTTCCGCGCGTTCAACGAGGAGCTGAATGCCAGCGTGCGCGCGCTCGGGCGCAGCGTGAGCGGCGGGAGTGCGAGTGCGGGTGCAGGTGCGCGGATAGTGTCGGGCGGCGCGGGGCAGGGGGAGAGAGAGTAGAGATAGAGGGTGCTGTATTGCTATCGTGTCATGCCATGTCCCGTTGATAGCGCGATTCAGAGTGATTTTTAGGTTAAGTGGTATGCTGGGTGTCCCTGAAGATTGCAGTCATGTGTCCCGTCCGCCACTTCTGTCGATCAGCCACGCGACATGCTCCGAGGCCCTGAGGGTGGAACGACGCAACTCAGAATGTGATGGCAAGTGCCTCATGAGTCGCGATGGATGCCTCTGATGAGATCCGAAAGAACAGGGAAGATACGGGAGGGGTGTGCGAAAGTGCCTCTCGTTTCTGGAAGAGCAGCAGCAGCAGAGATGCGAGCGCTTCCGGTGCATCTCGGGCGACGTTGAATTGCTTCAGCCAGCCCGTTGACTGAGGGCCTTGCGGACGATCGTTGCGGAACCTTGAGGCCGTTGAAGGCGCTGCTTGAACCCTCAAGTGAGCACGGAAGGGGGGGATGTAGGGGAAGGGGAAGGGCGCACTCGAGGAGTGGCGCTTTCATCGTTGGCCGAGGGTTGTGTGTGAAGCACTTTACGCCCTCAGCAATCGGGGGGACTGCAGCAGATGAGTGTGCAACGGTGAGCGATGGAGACGTAGGCTTGATCTTTGGAAGAGAGCTATGTTAGAAAGACGGCGTCAGCGTTTGGCGGTACGCCTCTGGTGAGCGGCTGCAGCTGCAGTACTCTCTGGGATCTTTGGGCGACTAGATTTGGGCGACTAGATAACCGCTGGTCTTTACATAATAACCCATTGAGAGCTTGAAAACACTAGGCATGGTGTGCAGCGATCTCCACATGGAGGACCACTGTACGCGTCTGGCTCTTGGCTCACCCATTGCACTGCGCTGCGGTCGCAACAGCACTATGCAGCGACCTGCAAACATGGAGCTGCCATATATCCTATAGAAGAGAGCTATACTTCTGGCAGCTGTGAGACAATTTAGCTGAATAGCAGGATGGCTGGCAAGTGGTGGGACAGTGACCAGTGGTTGGGTGGATCACTTTTGCCACCGCCGGTAGCCGAGCCGACCAGATATCAACTCCACTATCCTCTTCTCTTCTCTCCTCACCATCTCAATCATGCCCCGCTCTCATTTCCGTCCTCACTTAGCCCTCCCAGCTTACACTGCGATGCGTGCTCTGTTCGGCCTCTTCATCGTACCCCTCGCCGTCGCCGTCATGGCTTACCAGTATCTCCTTGTTTCTCCGACCTCCAACGGCCAGAACCAAACATCTCACGGCAGCAAGGTCGACGCCAACACCTCCAAGATCCAAGCCACCAGCAGTCCTACACCTTCTCGCACGCGCAAAGACACGAGGACCGTTCGCTTTGCTTCTGCCTCGAACAACGTGTACTTTCCACCCAGCCCTTACACCCCGTCCAACTCATCCACTTATGATCCCTCTTCTCTTGACACTACCAACGCCCCTCAACTCCCGATCACACCTCCCTTCACTCGGCGCCAGTCGATGGACGCTCCGCAAGCTCGACGCATCCCCAACGCGGCGAGGAACAAGCCCTTGCTGTACGATGGTCCCCGTCTGCCCTCCACCCCCCTGTTTAACAAGAACAATGACAACAACACCCCGTCAAACACACCTCCTCGTTGGCCAGGAGCCAGGCAGCGCCTCTTCTCTACCCGTCACCACATTCCTGTCACGCCACCGGCTGTTCTGGTCCACCACACCTCCACCTCGCTCCATTATGAGGAGACCACCACCTCCTTCTTCCTCTCGCAGCCTACCGACACGGCCGACGGCGCCTCGCAGCCGACCACGACCCCAGCTACCGCTGCTTTGCCCACCACGCCTCCTCCCGCCAGGTCCTTCGTGGCAGCTGTTCTTCGCAACATGTCGCCCTCCGAGTTCCTTGAGAACTCTATCGCCATTCGGCAGTAGCAGGCACAGTTTGGGGCTACTTTACACCCTGCGAGCGTTGCCCCCTGTACAATGCCTGGTGCCTATGACCTGTCCACACCCGTAGTCTATACCCACGTTCTCATTGTCATCCTTCTCAATCTCCCCGTCTCGCAAGGGAATGAACGCCATCTCGCTCATTTCATCTAATCTACTCGATCTACTCGACCCACCCCCCTCCCCCTCCCCTCTCGCAGCCCCCCCAATGCCCTGATCTTTGGATGTACGTTCCCGCGCCGTCTCTCTATACATGCATGCAACAATATGACCGTTGTGTACCGGCTTCAACTCCTGATATCATCTCGTGATTAGCCTCCCACCCCCATCCTCATCACGGACAAGCTGAGCGGATCGGACGAAGGTCGGCGCCCCTCATGCCGATCAGCGCCCAGGCCGCACAGCCCATTCACCGCCCTCGCCGCGCGATGCATGTGATGCATGCCCTCAGAACACACCGGAAAATCCATAAAACCCACACGACGCAAACAGAATACAGTGCAACATTAGAAGAATGCGAGTCAAGCTCCACCCACTGCAAACATGATCCAGGCGCGCAAATTTGCTCCCGCCTACACACATCCCCCTCACCTCAACATGCAACACGCAGGCGGCCGCAATCATGCATTTCCTCGGTGATTTGGGTTTAGTTAGAGCTATGTAGCATGCAGCGTTTATATGGGCTATGGCGAGTGCGATGGCGAGATCGCCTTGGGCGCCGAGACGCAGATCTCGGCCAGCATGTGCAGGTTGATCGCGCGCTGGTGCTCGGGGCGGCGGCCGTGCGTGCGCACCATCCAGCGCAGGGCATCGGCCTGCTGTCAGTGACGCCTAGACGCAACTCACGAGAGCGGGCTGGATCTTGACCGGCGCCGGGTTCGCCTTGATCTTGGTCGCGTTCGCGGTCGTGAATTTCTTGGGCGTCGTCGGGATCTGCTTCGCGCCGCCACCCGGCGAGAGGGTGGAGGAGCGCTTGCGCCTGGCGTTGTGGGGCGACGCTGGGGCCTTCTTGCCAGGCGACGGCTTGAGGAGAGCCTTGCTGTCCGGGAGCACGCGCGTGAAGATGTGCCCCGAGCGGGTGGCGACGAGCTGGGTGCGCCCGAAGCGCACGATCGTGGTGGCGGCCTTCATGGTCTAGGCGTGAGTGGGCGCACGGATCGGCAGAGTGTGGGGGTACTCACTTGCGAAGATGAGATGCCGGGGGTAGAGGACAAGACGGGAAACAAGAACGGGAACACAAACGGGAAGGAAGTGGGGAGTCAAGCTGTAAAGCAAGAGGAGAGGAGGGGGAATAGACAGTGGGAGAAGAAGTGCTAGAGAGCAATGGAGAGATGAGAGAAGATGAAGAAAGGTGGATGGTGATGTACGGTGATCTTTAGGGGAAAAGCAAAAGCTTGGGGGGGGGAGGGGGGGGGGGTTGCCACGCCGGATCCGTCCATCCTCCTCTGCATATGGTCCGCGCAAGCGGGGCCTTCCACTCGTGCACGCTACACTGACGGTTGCGGCGTTTGCACGCCTTGCACGCCTTGCACATCCGTCGATTCCGCCAACTTGCGCCCCTCCCGTCCGCTGCGACGTGCCGCGGTGCGGCGTCAGTCCGGCGCGACAACGGCAGGACACCTCACATAGATCGGAAACCCATTTGTCATCGCTCCACTCAGAGTTCACGCCACCCCATCTCAGACCTGAGCCTACGGCATCGTCTTCACCTTCGCCAGCGTTGCGTTGGGGCAGTTCATCGTGTGAGTCGGACATAATGTGGTGAATCACGTGACGCATTGATCTCGCCGACAACGCAAGCAGAAGGAAATCAGGGATGAGAGAGCTACGACGCGTCGCAGGGATTCTGGATCCATTCAGTGTGGTACGAATGGTTCGTGGACATGACAAACCACGTGGATTGATGAATTGACAAAGTTAATTTCTAAGACATGACTCTTGCGTGAGAGGGCTGGCAAGCTGGCGGGCTGGCAATGGCTGGCAACTCGCTCCACTGCGCAGTCTCCCGCCGCTTGTGGGTTCGAAAAACTAGAGCCATTCATCACTCATTCACTACTGTTGCAATCCCACAATTCAGTGTCAAGACGACTGCAAGTTTGATTACATGGATATCTACAGGGTCCACGCTAATACTGGACGAGTCTATTGCTGTAGCTATACTATAAAACTATAGATTAGTAATGGGTACAGTAGCAAAGAGGGTACACGGTCTAGGGAAGACGAGAGAGGAAGAAGGTGACAAAACATGTGGATGCCCAGCCGTAACCGCCCAAAAGCGCCTGCTTAGCTAAGATTCTGTCACTGTCAGCCATCTGCTTGTCAATTGCCACTTACTTTCAAATTCACGCAGGGCGGGGTGGGTTCTGGCCGTTGCGAGACCGCTCTTTGCTCATTTGCTCCCTGATCCTCTTGAGAGTCTTCTGCTTCTGGACCTCAGCCTCTGCCAGGTAAGCCTTGCAGTTGGCGATGTAGGCCGCGCTAGGACCCGCATTGGCGTAGGATTCAGGTAACTGAAACGTGAACTCAAATGGGGCGCCGGCGATCTTGGTTGTAGCCGTCTCCTGTGATGCTGCTGGCGCAACTGCGGGGGCCTCGCTGCTTGCTTGGAAAATGTTGTTGGGAGTGTTGGACGGGATGTGCGGGATAAAGGGTACATGTGCAAGCTCCACCGGCGCCGGCGCGGGAGGGGCCAGGACTGGACGCTGGTACGGTTTCCAGATCTGAGGGCGCAATACCCACCGAGTGGGAGGAAGGGGAGGAGGAGGAGGAGAACGCGCAAGAGGTGGCGGGACGGATGGGTGGATTCTGGGATGGTTGTCAAGCGCTGCCGGGACGCGCCTGTAGTAGGACGCGTACTGCGAACGCATGACGAGAGGCTCCTGAAGCCTCTGAATTTTCTTGCGCCGCCGCAGCTCTGAAGAAACCTTCTGCTCACTAACAAGTGCGGTCTTGCTAGCGTTAAGTCGGTCTACCAACACCTTGGTTCTGTTTGCGTCGTCGCGCGATGGGGGCTGCACGTGCTGGTTGGGGTTGATCTCGGCCGCGTTGCCGTTCGCATCGACGACAACCTGGACTTTGGGTTTCAGCCGGCGGGGAGGAAGACTGCTGAGCAGCTCCTGATGTTAGCCTTGTCAGCCAAGCTGTACTCACAATCGTCGGCTCTACGAGTGCGCTCGAGACCATGCGCTGTTTCTTCACGTTCATGGTGCGACCCTTGAGATGCTCGTCGAGTGCAATTTTGCAGAGCCCGTAGTTGATGTTGGCCGCGAGCTCACACACGCGGACCTTGCGCACAGGGCGCTGGAGGGGGTTGGTGGCGAGACGGGCAGGGGCGAGCCTGTTGCTGGCTACAGGAGGCATGGTTGTAGGTATGGATGGTTGTAGGTATGGGTGATATGCAGGGTGTGTGTAGAAGACTGCTACGAGACAAGGATGAGGATGTAGTTGTAGGGATGATGGTGGGAGAATGGATGAAAGAACAAGAATGGAGTGCGCCGCCTTTATGTCGGGGTGGGGGGGGCTGGGAGGGGGGAGGGGGATACTATGCCCCCCTGCGCTAGAGGCTTGTTTTGCTGCATTCCGTGGCTGAATGGCTGAGGTGAGGCGAGGTTCAGCGGTCCGGTACGGCCGGTACATCAATCATCAATACACTGTACCTTTTTGGCGCCCGCCTTGGACTCGATCAAATACAAGCACCGCCCTCCACGCTTGAATCCGTCTGAGATCTGAGAGAGGCTACCTAGGCTGGGAATCTGGGGCGCAATTAGGGTCTTGGTATTTCAGAAATGTGCGACTATGGGCGTGTGGCCTTGGCAAGGCAGCGAGTAAGAGCACAGTAGGCTTAGAGGCTTAGATGGATCTGGACAACTGGAGAGCCATGGGGAGAGAGAGACAGTGGCACATCGTGGTGTTCGTTCGCCGCGTCAGCCCCAAAAGCCTTGCAGGAGTACCGGCGATTTGGTGATCTCCGATCAGCTGACGATTGTTCGCGGATGCTTTCCTTTCGTGCTCCGGGGATCGGGATCCATGGTCTTCCAGTTTCCAGGCCTCAGGACCTCCCATGCAGGCCATGCATCAACTCAAAGCTACATAGCTACAATGTGGCCAGAGGGCAAAATCACCGGATCAAAGAGTGGACCACGGGTCACTCCTCCCGGCACTGCTTCTGCCACGCGCGACAGAAAAAGCAGTCACCATCGCAGGTCGAGCCGGACCTCCAACGCTTCGTCGGCGGGCCTTCGTTTTCGTCGGCGTCATTCTTGCGCTTGGAGGGCCTAGGTGTGGGAGGTGGCGTGGAAAAGTGGAGCGCGGTTGGTAGTGTCGGAGAGACTGGAAGCAGGCGCGGGACGAGAAGTGTCGGGGAGACGGGAGGAGTCGGCAGGAGAGGGGGCTCCGGAAGCAGGCGCGTCATGGGGAGCGGTGGCAAACCCCAATCCTGCAGAGCTGGATCGATGCGAGCCGTTCCGACCATGCTGCACGTGCCATTACACTCGACTAACCACGGAAATTGGGTGATCTGGTCGAGAGGGTGGGCGTCATCGGCGGCTGCCGGAGCGGTGGCAGTCAGATTGCTCCCCTCGAAACTGCTGGGCACCTCAAGATTGTCGCGCCCCTCCGGATCGTCGCGCCCCACGGAAACTTCGCCCGCCTCGGAAGGCGCGGCCCCCTCATCGTCGCGATTGTTGCGCACCTCGAAAAAACACTCAGCATGGACGACGGCGGTCTCGTAGTTGTTCCAGAAAGCGGGGGACAGGTTATTGCGGCTATCCATGACGAGGATCTTGCACACGAGGAGCCGTCTAAGGGGGGACAGGTCCGTGAGCCATTTGCCGCTAGTGGGTGGCATAGTGTGTGTAGGTTGATGGTTGATGGTTGATGAATGAGTGGATGAAAGATTTCAAGAGGAGGGAAGGCGGAGAATATGATGTGGGTCCTCCCCTCGACCCAGTTGGCTGGGATACTGTACATATTTGCACAGCACGTGACTCATGTCTAGGAAGAAGCGTCAAGAGGTAGGAAAGAGCAAGCAAGCTGGGGAGCTAGGGAACCCCGGAGAGACAGAGAGACAGAGAGAAAGAGAGAAAGAGAGACAGAGAGCGTCACTAGAGCCCAACAGCAGGGTCCCAATTGTGCAGATACAATGTATTGAATGTGGATGGAGGCTGTGCCGGTTGCACTAGTGTTTGTGCTTGTTGTGCAGGTCGTGCAGGTCGTACATGTCGTGCAGGTCGTGCAGATCGTGATTGTTGTGGACCACACAATCTTTGCTACTGCGCTGGCGAAAGCTCTTGAGAGGATGTCGCTGCTTGATAACAACATCCGGTTGACGGTCAGGTCCCACACTAACATCGATCCCCTCGCATGCATCACGGACTACCCAAAGCCGACACACATGCATCCACGTTCGTCCTTGCTTTAGCCACGTACATGCATCCACTATTCAGGCTTGAGTGGACTACAGGGCCGCAGGTGTAGCATACATGTCCACTGCACAAAGGAATTTCACAGCATTTCGCAGGGTTTCGCGCCGACTGATTTTGAGCGACTCGTCTGTATTTGTCCCCATTCATCAACAGGGCCTGGGGTGGTGACGACGAGGACCTGACCCTCAAACTTGAATGAACAAGGTTGATTAGAAAATGGCCTTAGCCCAAATTCTAATCACCCAAATACTTCCGTCATAACAACACACCTCCACCTCGGTGTGGTCACCCTTCGCTGTTGACATCTTTAGCTCGCTCATCGCTCACCATCCCCCCATTTACATCGCCATGGCTCCTCTCGACGCGCCAGAGGGTGTTACCCGCCCCATCGTCTTCTTCGACGTCAACATTGGAGATCATCCCGCCGGGCGCATCAAGATGGGTGAGTGCGCTTGATTGTTCCACGATCGTGATCATCACCCTCCCCCCTTCCCCTTCCCCTTCCCCATGCCCATCGCTCCACGCCGCTACTCCCTGCCGACGCCTTCTCATCATCTCTTGCCGCGAGTATCCCCAGCTGGGTAATATTCACTCTGGCTCTGATTGTTGCGCAGGTGGCTCCTGGCCGCTGGATCTCTTTCTCAGTTATTCCCACATGCCTCTGATCATCTTTCCCGTCCTCCTTCCTCCTTCCCAAGTCTATCGCAAAGCTAACCTGCAGAGCTGTTCAGTGACATTACGCCCAAGTACTCGCCTCCTTCGAGCGAAAGCTGATCTCAGAACCGCGGAGAACTTCCGACAGCTGTGTACTGGCGAGCACAGGTGCGTTCGCTGCAAGAGCGGCTGCTGCCAAAGCGCTTCGCTGACATCAGAGTCAACTCTGTGCCGCAGGGCTACAAGAACGCGACATTTCACCGGTGAGCTGCATGATAGGAGCATAGCTAACGAAACAGAGTGTGAGTTCTACATCCTCCGTGTTAGGGAAAGTCGATGTTCAAGTGTTCAACGCGGGTCTGAGGCTGCAAGCGCAGCGGGCGCAGAAGCACGCTCGCCAGCCGGCGCTTCGGGTTTGAAATCTAGGCCAACTGATTGCATCCCTAGCCAAACTTGGCGCGCGCTCTTCTTGGCGTCCTGAAGGCGAGGCACTGGAGCTATATCTCAATGTCCTCTATCCCAAGGCGTGAACGGTATGCGGCTCTCTGCCGGTTGTGAGCCGAGTCGCCTTCTTCCTCGCAGTTGGAGAGGGCCTGGAGCTGGTTATGAGTGCTGCTGCAGGCCTCATCCATCCCGTACCCGCCTGAATCCCTCAACTCTTCCGTCCATGACTTGCTTACGCTAGCATTCCCCAGTTCATGATTCAAGGTGAGTCGACGTCCGAGTTGACGTCCTGCGATCCCACTAACTCACAGGGGGCGACTTCATCCGCCACGACGGCACCGGCACGTTCTCCATCTACGGCGCCCAGTTTGAGGATGAAAACTTCATCGTCAAGCACACTGGACCGGGGCTACTCTCCATGGCCAACTCTGGGCCAGGGACTAATGGTTGCCAGTTCTTCATCACGACCGCGCCCGCCGACTTCCTTGACGGCAAGCACTGCGTGTTTGGACGCGTCATCGACGGGTTGCTTACCGTGCGCAAGATTGAGAACGTTCCCACGGGGGCGCAGAACAAGTGAGTGGTCGCGTTTAATCCGAGCTGACCCCAGGCCCAAGATGACAGTCCGCATCACCGAATGCGGTGAGATGTAGCCTTGGACGTGCGATGTGCCAGTATGCAGTTAATAGTACATTTCTAATCTCAGCCTATCTACATCTCTAATAGGCGCTCCAGACTACTGCTCAACGCCCAGACCGACATAACCCGCTGCCCGCCCGAAAGTCGTCTTCTCAAACATCTCGGTCGTGACCTGCGCCAGGAAGCCGGGAATGCTTTGCCGTTCGATGACCCAGAACTGGTGAGCTTCCTCGAGGCCGCGCTTCATCGCGCCGCTCATGTGCATCGTACCAAAGTGACCCTCGTCTGAAGTGAATTTGAGTGTAAGGCCCATCTTGCCCTTGGGCGCATACATGGACGTGAGGCGGAGTTCACCGCCGTTCTCCTCAAACTTGATACGCCAGCCGAGGAGAGAGTACACAGCCTCGAGGAACTCGCGGCTCTTGAGCCCAAATATCTCTTTGAGGCGCAGTAGACGCTTCTCGTGCGCAGCGGCGGCGGTGTCGCGCTCCTTCTCAAGCCGGTCGTAACTTGCACGAGGAACAAGGCCATTACCGCCCTCTGAGGGCGTTGTATCCAGTTCCTTGAGGCGGGCGAGCAGCGCGGCATTCTCAGTTCGCAGATCGTCCAGCTGCGCGCGTCTCACGGCATGTACCCGCGCGGCAGGGTTGTCGCGCACCTCGAGGACACGCTCCCGCTCGGAATTGTATTCACCGCTGGCGACACGCCGCATCAGCTCGGCAATGTCGGCATCGAGCGCAGTGTTCGCCTTCGTGAGCTCCTCTACCGAAGCCTCCAGCTCAGCCTTCTCGCACTCCAAAGACGACGCGCGCGCCTCGGCGTTCTCTAGCGCCTGTGCTTTGACGAGCCCTGCGCCGCGGGCAACGCGCTCCTCAACTTCTGCCGCCTCAGCCTGCAGCAGATCCAGGGCACTTTTGTACTCGGTGATGGAGGCCTCGAGCGCGCGCATCTTGTTGCCCCATGGCCCGTCGCCGCCGGGTCCCGAGCGCGCGGCCTCTAACTCGCGCTTCAGGCCCTCAACACGCGCCTCAGCGTAGCGCTGTCCCTCGGAAGCATTGCGCTCCGCCCGCTCAAGTCTGTGCACGCGCTCCTTGAGATCGAGGATTGTGGCCATACTGTCGTCCGAGATCTGTCCTGCCCGCCGCCGAGCCTCATCCAGCTCGGCAGTCGTGGCAGCGTATTTGGATGCCAGCTCCTGGTGCACTTTATCCAATGCAGCGAGCCGTGCCTGCAGCTGTGCCACCTCGTCGTCCGTTGCGCCATTGAAGCTCTGTGTTAACGAGCTAATGTCAGCTCTTGAGGTATTGATCAACTCACTCCCGCTCGTGTCGCAACCGCATAACCTCGTCTTCGAGTGTCTGGGCCTGCCGGCGCAACTTGGCCTTCTCTTCCACCGCCTGCCGTTCGCGCACATCGGCGTCCTTCTTCCACCGCCGCAGCTCGTACACCTCTCCCTGTAACTGGTCGATCTTGCTTTGCTGCGACTGGAGCGACACTGATTGTCCTGTCATTAGCTGGGACCCAGAATTCGACTCACTTCTTATCTCGCTTCGCATGCCGTCGTCCGCCTTGGTAGGCGAGCGGCTGCGCTTCGCATCAGCCTTCCTTCGCAGCTCCTCGACCTCAATCGCAAGATGCTGCGACCGCTGCTCGTACTGGCGAAGCTGGTCGCGCTCATCCTGGAGCACCTTGATGCGCTCAGTGTATAGCGCCTCCTTCTCCTCGAGGTCGCGAAGCACTCGGTTGTAGTTTCGCTGAAGCTTAGAAATCGTCGACTGCTGCTCCTCCAGCAAGCCCGAGACCTGCCGCGCTTGCGTGCGATACTTGCGCAGGTTCGCATCGTAATCAGCCTGGTGTCAGTTGCGGTGCAGCGCTGGCACAACGTCAATCGCACCTTCTCTGCGGCCCATTCCTTCGCTTGCGCATCGCTGTCGTTCTTCACCCGCGTCGCGGACTCGAATAGCTGATGTCGTTCTTCCTCGAGTCGTGCATTCTCGGAGCGCAGATCCTCTGCAGTTCTATCCTTGTCGGCAAGCTGCTGCTCGAGGTCCAGCACGCGACGCTCGAGCATGGTCGTCCGGAGCTGGGAAGAGGCAAGGGTCTTCCGTACAGAAGCCGGGTCTGATGTCAGTCTTGGAAGAGAGCGGCTAGCTCACCGTCTCGCAAGCCAGCATCAGCTGCACCGCGCTTGCCCAATGTTGAAGAGGACATCGGCGTTCGGAGGGTTGAGGAGGTCAGAGACGAGCGCGCCGCTGGACGCGCCACTGAGGTGCGCGGTATGCTGCTGACGTAGCGTGAAGAGCCCTCTCGTCTGTCCATGGGGTGAGGTTGTTGTTGCGTTGTCGACGATCGACGACTGTAGGACAATGACATCTGTCGGCGGAGGCAAATCCACGTGGTGACCTCCACCGCCTGACGCCGGTCTTCCAAGATTTCTGGAGACAGCCGTTTGTCAACATCGCCTTTCCCCACCGCCATGTCCGACGCCCACGCTAGCGTGCTCACGCCCTCCGAGGCTATCCCGGAGAACGCAGTTCATGTTAAGGGACCTGATCTGAGCTCGCCGATTGATCTCATCTCCCTCCTCAAGGGGTACGAGACAATCGGATTCCAGGCGACCGGGCTCGCCCGTGCGATCGAGGTCGTCGAGGAGATGGTGAGTGTGCAGCGGCGGCAGGAAACCACTTGGATAGTGCATGGGGGCTTTGTGCTGTCTGATTGAAGCTTACGACAGCGCAAGCAACGCGAGAACACCGAGCAGCCGCTTACCCTGTTCCTCGGATACACATCGAACCTCATTTCATCGGGATTGCGCGAGATCATCCTCTTCCTCGCCAAGCATAAGCTCGTCGATGCACTCGTGACCACCGCTGGCGGCGTCGAGGAGGACTTTGTCAAGTGTCTCGGGTCTACGATCCTCGGCGACTTCCACCTCGCGGGCGCTGACTTGCGCAAGAAGGGGTGAGTGTCTGTGCGGATCTGTCAAGACAAGCTAGACGGTGGCTACAAGATGTGGGGCTTTACATGACGGCTGATGCTGCAACGCACAGGCAGAGTGGGCTGTATGCCTTCTGCTGAGCTTTGGCGTTGGCAGATACACGAACTGTGCTCCATCTTCCACCAGCTGCGTGCTCGGCCCCAAGGTCGCTGAGGAGCTGGTTCACGAGGCTCTCTGCACCCATGGCCTCCTTCTCTAATTTGTCGCGCGCTCGTGATGATGCGCCTTTTGCGGCTTTGCTTACACCAGGCTTAATCGCATCGGCAACCTTCTCGTTCCCAACTCCAACTACTGCAAGTTTGAGGATTGGATCATGCCGATTCTCGACCAGATGGTCGCTGAGCAGGAGGGCCCGGAGAAGACGAAATGGACACCGAGCAGCGTCATCAACCGCCTCGGCAAGGAGATTGACAACGAGGAGAGCGTGTACTACTGGTGCTGGAAGGTAAGCGCACTATTATTCGGTCAATTGACAGTAGAACGACATCCCGGTGTTCTGCCCCGCCCTGACAGATGGCTCGCTCGGCGACATGATGTACTTCCACACCTACAAGGCGGACCCGGCGCCGCTGAACGTTGACATCGTCGGCGATATCCGCAAACTGAACGACATGAGCGTCAAGGCCAAGCAGGCGGGCATGATTGTTCTTGGCGGCGGCGTGTGCAAGCACCAGATTGCCAACGCAATGCTTTTTGTGCGTCTCGCCGAGGTGGCTAGCTGACGCGCAGAGGAATGGCGCTGACTACGCGGTGTATATCAACACGGGCCAGGAGGTGAGCTGCGCACGCACTCGCTAGGGGGAGACGCTGATGGGCAGTACGACGGCTCTGACTCAGGAGCCCGTCCCGACGAGGCAGTGTCTTGGGGCAAGATTCGCGCGAACGCGCAGAGCGTGAAGGTAGCCAACAAGGTCAAACAGGCGGCTGACTGCAGGTCTACGCTGATGCGACGCTCGTGTTTCCTCTCATTGTCGCGTCAACATTCGGCAAGGCGCACTGGGAGACCAACAAGTAAGCCTCCAGTTTCGGCATTGTTGTATACCTTGCATCTGTACTACCCGGGATCATGCATTGCTTGAAATGATGGGTTGGGTTCGACGACAGTGTAGGTAAGTGCATCCAGGTTTGTTGTGCGTGGTCGGAATGCCGGACGCGTGCCCTGAACCTTCTCACGCCGAGACGCGATCAGCCCCCGAGGAGCGAAGAGCGATGCGGCGACCGCGGCTGTGCAGCCACACGGCAACGTGTGCATAGCAGAAGAGGAATCTTCGCGTTCGGCGTGCCGAGCGTGTGTAGGACAGCGAAAGCGTCGGCTTGCTCTGTACGGGATGCATAGTGACTGTGACTGTGAAGTGGGCACAGACAGTGCGCACTGTACGATCCGCTCGCCCCGTTGGCTCCTTGCCTCCACTCATATCCGATCGACAACGTTGTCCACTCAGTCATCCACATCTCGCCACACTTTCCTTTCCTCCCATTCTTCCATCCGCCTGCCCCCTCTCCCCCCTCTCTCCTCTCTCCTTTCTCCCCTCCTCTCAAGCGACCGACGTCTTGCAGGCCCCACTCGGCAAGTCCTAGCGTAGTCACTTGCGCCCACCGTGACGCCGACGCGATGGCGGCCCCCCGTTCCAACGCGATCCAGATCGTCCGGCCGCCTGACAATGCAAAAGTCGAAACGCCGGACAAGCCCAAGAAGGGTGAGTAGAGGCAACTCTGCAACGCGCGCGAGACGCGTTCCTGCACTCCCGCTCTCGCCCAAATGTCCTTCCCGCGACATCCAGCTTACGATAGACGCGACGCAGCGCCTGTGCCGCAATGTACTAATCTATGGGTGCGTACAACGCGCTTCTTTCCTGACGGCAGGTCGTGTCGCTTTGAGGGACAGAGTGTGAGCCTAAGGAAGCAACCAATGCTGACCAAAGTGCCCGTACTTCCACCCTCCTGTGAGAGCGTTGGAAGTGGTGTTGCATCTTATCTAACAGCAGCCTGGCACTGATCCGCTGGCCGCGCCCTCGACTGCACCCGTAACCTCGCCTGCAAAGACGTCGCTGAGGTGAGTCCACGCGCGACGCGCTCGTCGGTGCGCGAAAATCGCTACATAGAGGCGTGCGAGCGCATATTATCTCCATGTGCATTGTGCAGGGAAGAACCTGTGCTGTGTGCGACATATCATCGGTGTCCGCTACACTTTCTTCTCGTCAATGTGTCCACCGGATTCTTTAGGATCTGCGATGCACGCCCATCCCCTCCCTCGAGCATCCGTTGACATCAGCGTCCACGCCACACCTTTCGCCTCACCCGAGGCCAAAGGTCCGTCGCTTTCCGCCATTTCGGGGTTGGGGGCGGAGCACCTTGCCGCACCAGTCTTCGTCCCCAAGACAGCGATGAGTGACAGCTCGTCCTCGTGAGTCCAAATTCTTTGTCGCCCTGGCGCATATCGTCTACTTGTGTTGACGCCAGCACGGCGCCGCCGTCAAGTGCGACTCCCGGGCCGCCAGAGTGGGCCAATGCCGCGCCTTTCACTCCGCCTGTCGACGGGATGCCGAGCATGCAGCAGCAACAGCACCAGCATCAGCAGCAGCAGCACCAGCAGCATCAGCAGCATCCACATCAGCAGGGGATGGGCTACGATGAAGGCCTTGGTTTCGAGCCGCAGCCTGGCATGGAAGCGAGCATGTTCATGCCGGCTGCTCACCGTCGGCTAGTGAGAAAGCTGGCCTCTACAGGCGAACTGCAGCTGACTTTAGCCCGAGCACCACCTGTACACCTCGCCCCTGCCACATGTTGCAGCAGGTCGTCAGCCAATGCACTCGTTCTTCATCCCGGATGATGTTCGCCGAATGATCCACTCGCGCCAGGAAGCGACCTATGCCAATCCAGGCATCTCGCAGGGCATTCCGACCGAGGTCCACGTCTACCACTCCCTCGTGCCACTCGGTAACCCAGCCACCATGAGCAACGTCAGTCGTGTGTTCCACCATCCAGGTCCCGTGTACCGTGCAGCGAGCACCGTGGACGGTAATGTCTACTGTCTTCGTCGTCTTGAGGGATACAAGCTATCAAGCGAGAATGCGTTTGCAGCTGTGGAGACTTGGCGTCAAATCCGGCATGCGAACATTGTCGGTTTGCGCGAGGCATTCACAACCAAGGCCTTCAACGATAATTGTGAGTTCAGATGCACAACGCAGGCTGACATCAGCAATGGTCATGGTGTACGACTTCCACCCCGATTCGACGACGATCGCTGAGGAATGGCTCAACCCCGACGCGATTGCGCATCGACGCCAGACAGGAGCGCCCATTCCGGAGCGCATCGTGTGGAGTTATGTTGTTCAGCTGGCAAATGCGCTGAAGGCAGTGCACACCGCAGGGCTGGCTGTGCGTTGCCTCGACGCAAATAAGGTATTGATCACGGGCAAGAACCGCGTGCGGATCAATGGCGTCGGCATACTGGATGTGCTCAGCTTCGACCAGCAGACCCCCATGGGTTTGTACCAGCAGGAAGACCTCCTCAACTTCGGGCAGCTCGTCATGTCTCTATGTGCGGACTTTGTGCAGCCGGGCCATGCGCAGAGCATCGCGCAAGGTCTCGACTACATCGGCCGCGCGTACAGCCTCGACCTTAAAAACCTTGTTGGTTACCTCCTGGGTAAGCCAACGGCGCTGAAGACGATCGACGAGGTGCTGCGACTCGCTGGCCCGCGCATCCTTAACGAGCTTGACGCGCTGCAGGCATACAACGATGTCCTCGAGAATGACCTCGGCGCAGAGGTTGAGAATGGTCGCATAGCGCGCATGCTCATTAAGCTTGGCTTCATCAATGAGCGTCCTGAGTTCGAGATGGACCCGCAGTGGTCCGAGTCCGGCGACCGCTACGTCCTCAAGCTCTTCCGTGACTACGTCTTCCATCAGGTCTCCCCCGACGGCAAGCCCGTGGTTGATCTATCACACGTGTTGACAGTGTTAAATAAGGTGAGTGGAACCGGCTTGAACCACGCCTATGGCGCAGGACGGTCGTGTATAAGACCCGCTCGATCTCAGCTAACGACAGCTTGACGCCGGCGCGCGTTCTCGTGAGAAAATTATGCTCGTGTCGCGTGACTCGCAGTCGTGTCTCGTTGTCGAATATCGCGACATCTACAAGTGTATCGAGTCTGCATACAAGTAAGTCAAAACTGCCGTGTGTGACGGGCAGGCCAGCAGGCTTAATTGCACGAGCTGACACACAGCGAGCTCCGCAATGCCGGCAAGGCGATGCGTCGATAGAGGAAAATACGATAAACCGTAAAAACATATGAAAAGCTGCAAACGATGATTAGCGGGCCAACGCAGATGCAAGCCGCGGAGTTGGCGGCCACCGGTGGGGTTTGGGGAAGGGCTGAGGTCGTGCTGGTAACGGAACCCTCACCCTTAGACACTTCAGACGCTCTCGCAGGCATATTCGCGCTTTATTGCTGAGTGTAATCCTCTCACAAGAATGTAGATCGAGAGCGTAGCAGTTGGATGGGATGGTTAGAGCAAGCTTACATCTGGCTCGCCATGATCTATGTGCTAGTGTACAACTACACCTCCTCCTCGGCGCGCCGAATCTCTTCAGCGAGGCGCTCCCGCTCTCGCTGCCGCATCCGAAGGAGCGTCGCGCTCTCCAGTGCGGCGTCCTCCTCTCTCTGGCGCTGGCGATCCTGCACGTCCCCGAAGTCTGGCGCCGACTTGAATGTCCTCCCCTGCTCATTACCTTCGCCTCGCTCCTTCTGCTGAGCCGCCCATGCGACCCATGCCGGCTCCTTGCCCGCGGCCCACTTCACCTTGGCTCCGATCCCTGCCCCGTCGTGCACACACGCCCAGCACCCGCCCCAATTACCAAGAGCGAACTGGACGATGGCCTTTGGCTTCTTCTTAGATGGGACGACATGGACCGCTTCGACGGCACCGTACTTGCTGAGCGCAGCTTCGAGCGTAGCCTGCGTGTATCCGACAGGTAAAGTGAGGGTGATCGTGAGGTCTTCATCGGAGATCGGGGGCGGCCCATCCCTCTGCTGGATTGTGGGCTTGGGAGCATCTGCCTCTCGCGCAGCTGCGGCCGCAGCCTCCATTCGCTTCTTCCGCTCCTCCATCAATCGGCGACCTTCAGAGCGCACGGCTTCCTCGGCTGCCGCCGCCTTGCGCTGATCCGCAGCGTCCTTACGTGCCCGCTTGGCGTCTTCTTCGCGGCGTAACAAGTCCTGATGTCAATTTGGCCTGATGGAAGAACTTACATCCACCTTGGCTTTCCGCTTGCTGTCCATCTCAGCGCGCCGCGCTGCTTGCGCCCGCGCTGTAGCGAGCTTGCCATCGACGAAACTGCGCTTCTCCGGACTCGTGAGGATCGCCAGCGCGAGCGAGATGGAGTGAAACATTTCGGCGGCCTCTGGCCCAGAGTTTTTGTCGGGGTGGCATTTTAGTGACAGCTTGCGGTACGCTTTACGGATGTCCTTTTCGGCCGCATCCGGAGCAATACCAAGCGTAAGATAAGGATCGAGCTCTCGCTCCTCGTCCGTTAGGAGAGCCATGTCGTTTTTTGAAGGTGGGAAGGTGATGACTTTCTTTGTTGTGAAGGTTGGGTGGCAAATGCAGGAGACCTCCACTCTGATTGGAAATGACGTGGCGCCCACCGGAAGCCCGATAACGGAAGCCCGCCAATGAGGTATCAGATTAGCGTCACTCGTGCAGTCACTCGCCACCTAACTCTCAAACTTCGACATCTCTTGGAATCGGACTCGGCCTCGGACTAGACGCTCTCAGACTCGCGCCCGCCCGCCCAACCCGACGCACTATATCTGTCTCTTCCCCGCCTCCGCGCGATGCTCTCCTCCCGCCCGCAGTCCCTTCTTAAACGCTTCTGGCTCACTACCCTCCGCCCCGCCACCGCCGTTCCCATCATCCCGCCCATGGCACAGCAGGCGCAGCAGGCGTCCACGTCGGGTCGCACTGCCGTGCGCGTTCCCGGACCCGTCGAGACATCGATGCAGCAGAAAGTGAGTTACGAGATGAGCGGGAGCGGGATGTGGAGCCGGGAGAGTGTGAGGCTTGTGGGTGCTGGGGAAGGCAAGTCACATGCGCTCGAATCCCTCGAAGCCTTGAAGCCCTCGATGGCCCCGAAGGCCCCGGCTGTGCTGCGCACTTGACCCGTTGCGGGCTGAATTACTCACCGATCGGACATACGTCTGATCGGAGATGACTCCAACTGTGCGCCTCGAATGTGATAGGCTTGGTGACGGCAAGGGCACGGCAGGCGAGATCTGTACGCTGCGGCGTTTACTGAGGTTCGACTTCGGTCATCTTGCCTGCATGTCCGATGCAGCTCATGCGGGTATCAGTGCGAGCCTATGAGCTCGTGCTACCTCGCGAACGCGCCCCAAAGTCGGAGCTTCTCTGCCACCTCCGCCCTATGGGCCGGGTAATGCAACAGCTTCAAGGCGGTGATTCCTCGGTGGGCGACCATCGGTTTGCCCATCAGAGAGCACTTCGCTTAGAGAGCAATATCTGTGCCTTCAGCACCGATCATGCTGACACCAGCTCATCGAGGCATTTCAGCCGCAGTTGATCCGCATCTCGAACGACTCGTCAAAGCACGCACACCATGCTGCAATGCGAGCGGCGGGCGGCGGCAACGGAGAGACCCGTGAGTGGTAGTCTATAGGGTGAAACGCTGTGTTTTGGAGCTGATCCTCGTGTTTTCCCGATCGAAACCTCGGTCATCGATCCACATCGTGATTGACATACCGCCGAACCTCACTATCCCGATGCCTCGACTATTCTTCGGTGGTCGTACTTCGTCGTCCGATCTCGGTGGCAACTCTACTCCCACCCGACGCACCCACCACTGATGTCTTGTCTCCGGATGTACCTGCCACCATCACCGCCCGACATCCTCAATCACATGACACCCCCGCGTAACGCCCGACTTGGTCACCCAATGGCATGGTGTGACGTGCACCGAACAATACCGTAAATGCTGATCGTTTGTCCATGGTCCCGACTTGGCCTTGGCGACGGCGACGATGACGACTCTATTCCCAACTGCGCGTGAATCAATCAGACTTCGCCGTCGCCATTGTCTCTTCGGCATTTGAAGGGAAGACCCAGATCGCGCGCCACCGCCTCGTTAACGGGCTGCTCAAGGACGAGTTTGACATGGGCCTGCACGCGCTATCACTGCGTCTCAAAACGCCGGCTGAGTGGGAGAAGACCGATGGTGCCCAGGCCGCATAGCGAGCCAATTTCATCTCGGCCTAGTTTAAGTTCAGAAGGTAGGTTGATGGACTGGTCGTCCTCGGCGAGACGTCGTGCGTCCTCAGAGTCAGGGGTAGAGGTGACGACTGAAGCAGCGCCAAGACGGCAGTGGTAGCACTGAAGGGGGCAGAGGCTCCAGCTCTGGCGGGTACCTTAATAGGTCCTGGTACCGTTCCATCAGAAGAGTGATGACGACTGGTTGCGATGTAGACTGTGAGCTGCGCAAGTGATGACGAGAGCGGAAGTTGATCTACGGAATGGGCAGGTAAGCAGCGGGAAAAGGTCAGGGCGGAGCTTGATAACGTCGGGAGGAGTGTACATCAGGAGAAGAAATGGGCGAAGACGTTTGGAGGCCGGTAAGTGGACCGATGGAGATATGGAGAGGGTCTAGCGTGAGAGTGACCTCAGAAGAACCGGTGAGTTGAACGGCACGAAAACCGCAGGAGACTGACGACGCAAGCATCAGGGGAGAGACGGTTCGGCGACAACACATGGAGCCGAGATTGAGTTCTGGGTCGCTTCTTGAAGCAGGGATGCGCGGCGCTGAGACAACATGTGGTACTTGTGGCGCGTGTGCTTCTATCGCTTGGGTAGCATGCGCAGCGAAGTGTTGAGCTTGTCAGGCTCTCGCGACTGCTTGGCTTGGATGGGCAGCATGCGTCGCCGCAAACAGCAAGACCCGGCAAAATCCAAAATCCATACTTGGGCCACGGGGAACTTGCTCAAACTGGGGCATAGACGATTCGGAGAGAATATACGCTCCTCCCTTGATTGTATTCAACCCTGATCTCCGTCTCCCCTCTTGCCGAATTACCCAATTGCCCACATGCGGTACTCATGTTCCACTCTTTCTGTCTCTGACTCTCTCGTGACTACTCAGATCCTGCTGGGTTCAAGCGAAGTTTTGCCATCTAGCAGCGCAGCGCAGCTCCCCAGGTGGATTACAAGTCCTCTCGGCATGCTGCGTTCCGCACCTCCCTGGCTCTTGGCACTTGTATCAGTGCGCCAGTACCAAACCCCCGGGTCGATGGTGCGGGTGGCCACAGTCTGACACCCGACAGGTGGCGTTGCGCGCTCTGGACTCACTGGTGGCGCAAGGCGCACGGGACAGCCAGACAGCGCATTCAGCGAGCTAATCGGACCCCGCAGGGCGCCCCGGGCCGATGGACATATCACAGTCCAGGACCCAGCCGAACGTGCCGGAGGCGGCGGCGTGCCGCCACAGGTTACGACAGGAGGGTCCAGTGCCTGGGCTGAGACTCGGCCTCTGTCGTGTTCATGCTCTTGCTCTTTGCTCCGCCTTTGCCGCTGCCTCTGCTTTGGGAGCCGCTGACTTCTTCCTAGCTAAATTTCTGTTAATCCGCAGAGCTCACAGGCCAGGGGCCCAACGGAAGCCGACCTTGACAACTCTGCGTCCGGCTTGGCTGCCGTTCCCCGTTCGTGCGCGGTTCCACGCGGCTGACGGGGTAACGGAGATGGACATGCCAGGTGTGTGCTGCGCCATGTCTCAATTGCTGATCCTGGTGGCGTGCGGCGGAGAGAGGCATCACTCGACATTCTTCCCTTGCACACCATCATGGCGCTGCAGAAACACCTGGTGTGGAGAAACCAACCCTGGGCATGGCTGGCACACCTCGCCCCGGCATAGGTCACAGGTTAGCAAAGACCACGAGGACACGAGGGCCGAGCGAGCACGCCGAGTTGCGCGCAAGGGCAGCAGATCACGAACCTACTGTATAGCCTAGTCATCCTGGCAGGAGTGGGTGAGATCAGCAAGTGCAACGTGCGACGCTAGTGGCTGAGCCGGGAACCACAGAAAAGTCTGTAGAGAAAGCCGATGGTAAATGTCGGCACTCGGAAGTCGGGGAGTCGGTGCAGATGACCAATGAGCCCTTCCGTGATCCCCATCATGAGAGTGTCGCAACGCGCATGCACCAACAAGAGGCAGATCTCGCTCTCCCGGCGCCCCGTCCTCGCCCGCCGGCCATCCTCCGGGAGCGCAATTCCATCCAACCTTGTCTTCCCATCGTCCGCCCTCCCATCGCCATCCCTCTCATTCCTCCTGCCCCTTTTCTGCCCTGCTGGTCAACCGGGGCAGACACCTGGCTCGTCTACTTCGCTTGGTACCCTGCCTTGTCCAGCTGTCCAACGCCCACAAACACGCTGCCTCTATCTAGCCACACCAACGCCACGCCACGCCTACTAAGCCTGAGCAACTTGCCCTCGCTCCCAGTCAGCTGCCGCGCGCCGGCCCGCGACAGAGAGTCAACTGCCGAAGCCGCATCGGCGCGTTAGCATCACCGTGTGTGAAACGCACGTCGACCTTGTCCTTTATTGTTTTAACGTTGCTTCTCTCTTCTACATCTTATTCCTTGCATTCGTCATCGGGATCCGGGTCCACGGTTCGACGGCCCGAGTGATATCACTGTCATTCCCAGTCTGGGAAGACACACGCGCCCACGCCACAGGCCCCCCCTCCCCCCCAACCCAGAACTCAGAACTCGTCGTCCCGCCAACCCCAGTTTGGGAGAGGAACATCCGCCCAGTCGGAAGCACCGGGGTCCCCTGGGCTTGTCTCAAGCTTACTGCCGCGCGGACAGCTGCCTACCCTGGCAGCCGGTCTTGCTCCAACCTCTGCTCTCGTGCGCCTTCGCCGCTCCGCAGCGCCGTCCTCCCATTGCTGGGTGTCGTGGTCTCGAACTTCAGGCAACAGAGCAGAGGCCGCCTTGGGCGCTCCCCGGCGGTCTTCGTACCGTACTTTTACTTTGTCCGACAGGCCACTGCTGTCCTGTAGGTTTCGTGGCCGTGGCGAGTGATCAAACGTTGGTCGCCTAGGTCTCATTGTGAGCTACGTTGCAAGTTGGACTGTCAACCCAATACCATTGCACTGCGTACTTGCATCTAGCAAGAGCAGAAGCAGATTGCGGGCGCTGCGCATCCCCAAGGCGACCTCGCAGCGGCACTTGGCACTTGGAATAGTTCCTCCCTTCGATCAAGGCCCCCCCCCCCCCCCCCCCTCCTTCTTTGCAGAAGTGCAAACAACCCTGCCCCCCGCGCCCGTCTCCACCCTCCCCAATCATCACATCATCTCCCTCGACCAGTCGCGCCCCGCTGTCGCTCACCCTCGTCTTGGCCCGCATACTCGCCGCACCCACCCGCCGGCACTTGCACACACAGTCTTGTGCTCGCCAGCTCTAGCCAGCTCGAGCCAGCAGGCAGCCCAGCACTTTGGCCATTGCTCTCCCCTCCCCCACCTGCTATACCATCAACCCCACTTTCGCTATCTCTCCCCCACCCATAACGTATCAACTCCACCACCAACATCTTGCATCAACGCGCGCCATGCAGCGCGACCGCGATGACCGCGATATCCGCAGTCGCGACCGTGATCACCGCTACCCTCCACCACCACCCGATGCCCGATCATTGCCTCGTTCCTCGTCATCATTCCTCCACGGCCTCCCACCACCCATCTCGGCGAGTCCGCGAGGTTACTATCCGCCCTCACCCAGCATGCGCGATGTCCCAAGTCCCGGGCCAGCCCACGGCGAACACGTGGGTTGGGGCGCTGGACCCCATGCATCAGCGTCTCCCTCGGCCATGGACATGGCCCGCCCCGGCTCGAGTAGACGGTGGAGCCCTCCCTCCATGTCTCCACGCTTCAGCGAGAGACTTCCCTCCCTCAGCGACTATCCTCAGCCTTCCCCCGCGCCATACGCGCCCCGGCACTGGGAAGCGCCGATGCCCCCCAACCCCCTCCAGCCTCCCTACGTCAAGGCAGAGCCTTATCACCACCAGTCGCCTATGCGTGATCACGAAACATACGTTTCTCCACGAATTCACCACGGACATGAACTGCCACCTCCCCCGCCCCCGCAGGAGCCGACAGGATTGGGCGTCTCGTCACCCCACGGATCGATTGGCGCACGGCCCCAGACGGCCCCGACAACTGCCCGATCGACGTCCAAGCACCCTGCACCAAGTCCTCAGGAAAACGCTGCTCCCGAACCCAAGAAGAAGAAGCGCCGTCAGGCCTTTTCGTGTGCAGAGTGTGCTAAGCGCAAGCAGAAGTGCAACCGGGAGACTCCATGTCAACATTGTGTGAGCCGCAAGGTGCCACATCTCTGTGTGCCCAGCGCGAGGTTGGGATCTCCGCCACCCCGGTCCAAACCGAAAAGCGAGGCGGAGAGCAGCACTGCGGCGCGCGGAAAAGCTAGTGACCAGGCAACGACGCCTACCGCCTTCAACGGCCGAGTGAACAAGCTCGAGCGCATTGTCAACGCGGTGCTCAACCGCGTCGATGGCCTGGAGGGCAGCGCCGCCTTAGCCGAGTGGCGGCAGAGTAAGTACCCGGGGTAGGACGTGATAGAGCCACTGCTGACCTCAAGCCCACCAGCAGGCGCTGTCACCCACACCTGTAACCGCTAAACTCGAGCCCCGAACCTCCGCGTCACCCGCAACTTCGGGTGCGCCTGGTCGACTGGAGTCAGAGAATGGAGAAGACGCGTGGCTTGGCGGCCTCGACCGCGGCACTGTCAGCCGAAACCCGCTGCCTCAAACGGACAATCAGACCCCACTCGGTCTAGACTACCATGGATCAGTACGTGAGCAGCTGGAGGATTTTGTCGACGAGAGTAGCGCCGGCACTGTACGTTCGCAGCTGGATAGGGGATGCGCCGTTGTATTAGAGCTAATTTACCAGCTCCGCAGAGCTCTTCAAGACCTGCCTGCCAAGGACCACGCCGACAAACTGGTTGCATTTTTCTTCACAAAGGTCAACCACATCCGCTACCCGATCGACGAGCGCTTGTTCCGGCAAGGTGAGGCCGACGTCTCGGGGTGCTCCGAGGCGAATGGAGTGAGCCTAGAAATGAATGCTGACAATTCTCCTAGCCTTCGAAGCTGTGTACGCGTCAGGGGGTGAAATAACTCCCACCTCGGTGCTTGCGCTGCCATTGATTTTTGCCGTTCTGGCGATCGCGGTCAAGCTGTACCCCGATGGAGTGTCGGAAGATTGCAGCGCCGAGCGGAGACGCAAGGCCAGCTTGAAACTGTTCTGGGGCGCGCAATTTGGCATTATGTTCTCGACGTCCCTCAATGCCGAGAATATTCAGCTCGTAGAGGCGCGCATCCTCGTGAGCTCCCTCACAGAATCAACTGACATAAGATTGGCCTCTACTTGGTCCTCATGCACGAGCGACGACTTGCCGAAGGCTGGCTCCAGTTCCGCGCGGCCGTCGCCACGGGAACCGCGCTTTGTTTACATCGCGATGGCAGCCTTCTCGATCTCGATCCTTATACAACAGAGTATCGCCGCCGCCTTTGGTCGTATCTTTGTCACGCGGACGCTACGTATTCTTGTCTTCTGGGCCGCCCGGTATCCATCAACCCCGAGTTTTACGACACGAAGGAACCCAGTAATATCGAGCTATCATCCCTCGTGGGCGTCGACGTGGCGCCTCCTTCCAATCCACTTGACGAGCCGACTTTTGCCACATTCCTCATCCTTCGCAATCGCCTCGCCAGCATTGTCTCACAGATAGTGAACCAGTTTCAGAAGCTGCACGACTCTGTTCACTACAGTGACATTCAGGCGATCGATGCACAGCTTCGCAAGCTGCGCGAAGATCTTCCGCGCCACTTTCAGATGCTCACTCCGGACAAGTCGCTTGACAAAGGTAGGCTTTACCTGATTTTCAGACGGTCGACTAACGTTTAAGACCGTACCTTCCTCCCGGTGCACCGGTTCTACATCCAGACGGAGATACTGCACTTCACGATCATCCTTCATCGGCCATGGTTTTTGCGACAAGTACGCAGCGATAAGTACGCGATGTCGCGCCGGGCGTGCTTTGAGGCCGCAATAACCGACTTCAAAATTGTAAGCAAAGAGAAATAAATCCCATCTGACGTGTAGCGACAGGAGTTCCACAAGGAGAATCCCGACTTCTTTGAGACACTTCTCGGTGGCTCTTTCCGCGAATTTGTCAGTGATTCCTGCAAAGACAGTAAACGCAACATGACTGATGTCAGAACTGCGCAATGATTGCCGGTATCAACCTTCTGCTCGAGCCACACTCGCCCTACGCCTCGGACATGTGGAAGATTATGACCAACTTTACGGAGCATCACCCGTACAACCCGACAAGCGACGGCTTCAGCCGCAGGGAAGCGGCGATTGTGGGTACAAAAAGGACGCTGAAGTGCTAATTGCAGATCTATACATTGCGGAAACGAGCGTCGTCGCTGCGTGGCGATAGTGCAGGAGAGTCGGGCCAGGACGACCTCACTCATCCTTTGCAAGACAATACCTCGTTCGAGCGCGGTGGACGCACCTTGTCTCATGTCACTGGAGACTCGAGAGCAACAGGAGAATCATCGCGGCCAAGCTCTTCCGCTCCCAGTAGGGCTGCCAGCCCTACCTCGGGGCAGGGCTCACCCGCTTTGGCCAGCCAAGGACTTGAAACACCCCGATCTGATATTGCTGCCAACGCGGACCAAGTCCAGGATCTGTTCAACAAATACCTCGCTGCCAACTCCGAGTTTGGACGGGAGGGGGGCAAATCAAAGATGTTCGAGTCCTCCAGTATTGATTCAAACCAGTCACTACTCGGAGTGTTTGGCATTACCATCCCCGTCGTCGGGGTCATCGCCGACGCGGTGGAGAAAAACGGATGGCGTGACGAGGTGCCCGAGGCCAAGCTCCTCGAGCAGCAGTTTGCGGGTGACTCGAGCCTCGCTTTCGGCGCCATTCCTTCCAGTCTGTACTCGCTACGAGATGTCCTGTCTGCGGGCAAGGACGTAAATTCGCCCCAGTTCTGGAATACATTCGCCGATGGTAAGCGTACTGGCGGAGCCCCCTCCCCGCTGACTCTAGTTGTGGTAGAGCAAGCCGGCCTCGCCTGAGTGACTTTGCGCAGGCGCAAGCCACGAAGTCGGACGAGACACACGACTTCAGTGAGTACGCAATGTGCCACACGGGATCCGTGCCAACTCTGGACATCGAGCCCCTGCCACGTCACGGTAAGGGCGTTGTTGAGCTTGATTCAAAGCTGAGGCGCGTGATCCCAGGCGGGGGTGCCTCTTCCCGGATGCAATCGGATTACGTACGCTGATGCCAGTACATTTATCTGGTTTTTGATTTGGTGCCTGCATTTTGGGCCTTTTTTTCGGGGCTGGTCGCCCGATTGCGTATGTATCTCTACAGTCCCGAGCTCCCGACGAAGGGTGATGGGGCACCGCTCGGCTGCAGTGTCGGGCATAATGGCAAGCCGAGCGGAAATAGCGCCTCCGATGCATGTCGGATTATCCGGAAGCGCGAGCATGCCATTGGGCGCGTCTTGTCCGTGCACAGCGGATATCAGAGCGCGCTCGTGCATGAGCATTGGCTGTCGTGGATAGGCGGTGCAGGAAAGGCCGCCGGGAACCGCCGGGGATGTCTCGGAGTGTGACGATCGTTCCAGATACTGCGGATGCCGCGGGTCGGCGACGGAGTGGCTGAAGAGAAGACGCAAGCACGACGTGACATGACGGCAGGTGCCTCGGCGGGCATTTGCGTTCTCACATCACATCACAAAGGCGCAGCGATCACCACCGATCGGGGGCGGCCGGGGCGGCCAGCGGTGCGGAGGTATGGGGCCTGAGGTGTGGGCGAGGCCCGGCCCATATCTTCTGCGCCAGGGGCCTCTGCCGTTCCCGAAGCGGAATTCGGCGCTTTGAATCGCGCGGCATCGACGCGCCATTCTGCATGAATAGGCAGATGTGGCGCTTGGCCAAGCGAGCCAGAAGCCAGGAGCCAGGAGCCAGGAGCCAGAAGCCAGAAGCCACTGTCCGCCACACTCCCCCACCCACCTCGGCCTCCCCCACTCTCACGACTGCCACGCGCCGCCGCCCTGATATGTATCCGCGCCTTCCGTGCGCGTCGGATCGTCGGATGCAGATGCACATCCCACGGCCAGCTCGGTGTTGTGGTCGCGGGGTTTCAAGGGGCGTATGTGTCGTATCTTAGCCGCCGGTTCGTCCCCTGGTGTTACACGGCTCACGTCAGGCTGGAGGGGTGCGCAAGTAGTAATTTTCAGTTTTGCCAGGCGAACGGCGATGGATAGGTTTGGCCGACCACGCTGGCCGGACCACCGGAGCCGAGTTGATGCGAAGTGGACGCGCTACGGTGGCGCTGCGGATCTGTGAATTGGACTGGCTGATATCGGCGCGGACCCAAAAAGCTGCATGTGCTGGTGGCATGGAGATTCAAGGGCACGGGCTCACCGAAGGCCCTACGGCCGTGTACGTTCGGTATAGCGTCCCGCTATGCGGTGCGAGGACGTCTTGGAATAGAGTACGGCACATGCGAGGGTTCCTATATATTCGATATTGAGTCACGAGGCTTGATCTCAGCTGGATTGCAGGGGATGTAGCGATACAACCGGTGACAGCAAAAGCGTGAGACGAGGTGAGGACCGAGGCGCTCGTCCAGTTGCGTTGGTGACCTGGGCGCCGAACCTTAAGCGAAGAGGTTGAATAGCCGCGCCACGCAACTGACTAAGATGCCAGCGGCCGCCACAATCACCTCAACCTCGGCTTCTGGGCTCTGATCTGCCGGACGGGAGTCTTTCTGGGAACACCTGGGCAGACACATTCGCTGATCCTGGAGGATAAAGAAGCTGGCCGCGACATGCTCCGCCTGGGCGATTTCGCAGCATCAAGGGCGTGGGAGCATGGATGGCCCCCCAATCCGCACTTGCACCAAATGCAGCTCCGCTCGGCGCTGAACTGCGCTATGCGTATCGACGTCTCGCGGCGATCATCGTTTGATTGCATGACTGCATGGGGGTTAATCGATGGACTATCTCAAGATCCACTACAAGAAGGACCTACCAGCGTCTCCAAGCTCTCAAGTTACGCTGCTGGTGAGAGGTCATGAGAGAAAGCGCTAGGCAAGTTGATGCCCGCCTGACACCTGGCGGCATACTCACAGCGAGCGAACACATGGGCCACTTCTCTGCAGTGCATGGGGTGTGTGACTGGAGGCAACTACCGGCCAGCCCTGCCGCCAGTGCTCTCGACCGCCATCGAATGCGCATGAGCACCGGATCGCAGAGCAGCGGACTGCCCGACGGCTTGGTGATGATCGTGAGTCCGTCACGGAGATACGTCTCGGAGATACCATCCCAGCATCGGGAGCAAACACGGGGCGTTCGGCCGTGGCCGAGGTTCGGCTCATTTCGGCAACCAGAGACCCAGGCACATCGGCAGTCACGCGCCAATCAACACAAGAGGGGGTTTATCGCATCTGCTTCCGCTTCTGGCACTGTGCCTAGGCATGGATGTTTATTCGGCGACGCCACGGCCTCAGGCTGGCAGTAGTGCGTCATGTGTACTATGTGTACGTCGTGGCACATCGCCGAGCAAACGCTGGGGGAGGGCAACGCTTAGCGCTCCGCTTGTGGGTAAATACAGCCGTCGGGGCCGAACCGTGCGATGCGCGCGATGAGGCATGGGACGGGGAGAGGGTGGGGGGCATGGAGGGGGGTGCGGATCTGTCCCTGAGGCTCTGGAGCTACATGCCTAGATGCTCGCTTAGCTCGCTTGTTGTGGGCATGGGCGGGTGACTGACCCAACTCACCGATGTGGCGCAAGTTAATAATTATCCAAGTGTCTGACGTATGCCAGTGTTGGAGGGCAGCATCTGTGTCGCAGCAGGACCTGCCAGAGGATGCATGTGAGTGGCGCCTCGTCGCTTCCTAGCGCCGATATAGCTGCGCGGCCATGAGTGAATGCTAAATCTGGTGGGATGCGTCTGCGGCGGATCTGGCCGGATATAGGTGGCTCGACCTCAATGCACGGGGCGGCGATATGGATAAGTGGCGGTGTGGCGGAAGAGCCCTGGATGATCTGATGGGTGGGCGGTGTCAGGTGCCGCGCCGATTGGCCAAGGGCAGGCAATTTGCAATCGCGATTAGATCACCCATACCGCCGCGCAGATGCCGTCTGTGGCAGTTGGCGTTGATACCGCCACCAGGCACGTCGGCTGTTCGCTCTCTCCCGATCGCCCTCGCCTTCCGTGAACACTGAGCAAGAGAGGCGGCGTCCGTCGCGATCTGACATGAGATCTGGGTGGCCTGGCCGGTGGGGTACACACGGCTGCATGCAAGGTCGTGGGTCAACTATGCATGTCGGTGGATGAATAGCAAAAGACGACGGCTGAATATCCGCGGGCAAGGGACCGATGTCAGCGGGCGCTGATTACGATTAGGCGAAAGCGCTGACATCACACTTTGCTTTGCCATGCGAAAACTGTAAGCCATGTGGAATGCCCGATCGCTCTGTGCTCGTTGGAGAAGGGGTCAGGATGTATAGTACAATGTAGAGTATGCAGTATGCAGTAGTGGTTGGATGTGGCCAAGAGGTGTGGCAGTGATCAGAGATGGGCCAAGTATATGTTAGCATCTAATCGTGGGCGCTGATTAGGACCATGGGCAATTTTCAGGGTCTATAACTGGCCATCTGGTCATCTGCCCACGGGCTCAAACTCGGAGACTTTTCCAGGCCACGCATGGCTTCTGGGCTCTGCTCTAATGCAACTGTAATTTTGTATTCGCCTCGGTCTTGTTGGTTTGAATTGATTAGACTCTCAATCTCCATCTCCCTCTTGTTTGCACTATCTCTTCTCTTCTCTTCATCATCATCATCATTCCCTTCGTCCCCCTCAGCGTCATCCATCCCCCTCCCATCATCATCATTGTCATCCCATCATCCATCGTAAACGTCCTCGCCCCCACCCCATTCACATACGAGTGTCAATCTACTGAGATATCACTACTGCCCACCCCCCTCGGTTTGCCACCCATCCTCTCAAACCATCCATACCTCGCCTTGCATTATCAATCAGCCTCCGCTCCCCATCCATTCATCTTCCCCATTCCACATCCTCCTCACTCACTTCTATTCATCGACCACCTACACTCTAGACTTTGCAAACTTGCACGCACGCACGCACGCACGCAGGCACGCAAACCATACCCAGGCAAAATCCAACTGTACGTTGCTTTGATGCCTCCCCTCTCTTCCCTTGCTTTTTTATCTCCCCCCCGCCTCCTCTTGTCCTCTGCCCATCTCTGTCAATCATCCGTCCGATTTGTCTCTGTCTCTGGCACTTGCACTCTCGGCCCAACCACTGTCACCCCGTTTCTCCATGCGGGTTGTGACTCGCTTGATCCCTTGCGTATCCCAGAATCATATTCACAGTCTGCGGTTTTGATCCTGGAGCTCGGGCGAGTCGGCAGATAACGCCACCCATCCCACTCCCCCCCCCCCCCCCCCCCCCCCCCCCCCCCCCCCCACCCGCAGTCACGGGCCTCGGATGCGCTTTTGATCCTACCATCCCATCATGCCCTTGGGGCCAACACTATGACTACGTACAGCAGGCGTCAGGCAGATCTCGACTCTTATCGAGTATGAGCGGTGTCTAAAGTGTGTGGACTGGGCTTGGCAGGAGGGAGAGTACTTTTGGTGATGGAGATGGTTCGGTGATTGCATGGCCATGCGAAGTGTGGTGGCCGCCAGCCGCCGACCGCCGACTGCCGACCGCCGACCGAGCGATCGGAAAGTAGGTCTTGTCTTTGCCGTGGGTCGCTGGCCGCTGGCCGCTCTGGGATTGTGCGCCTGGGTGGTGGGTGGTGGGTGGTGGGTGGCCTTGTGGGCTTTTGTGATGTGTGCCCTGATTATCCCGCGTTATCCGCCAACCACGGACAAGCATTCCCAAATCACCCAATCCTCCTCTCCTCGGCCCCCCTCTCACTCCTTTCATCCCCCCACCTTGCCTTGCTGCCTCTTTCTCTCCCTCTCCAACTCGTATACCCCTCCATCCACCTCGTCGGCAGTCACTGATCAATGCCAGACGCTATGCCGAACGCCCCCACGGCGACCTCCCCCAACCATCCCCCTCACAGCCCCATCACCGCCACTTCTGCTTCGCCAACCTCGGCAAAGCTTTCTCCCCGCGCTAGCCTCTCAAATCCAATCTCCCCTATCGCCCGTTCCTCACAACTCGCCGGCTACCAACACTTTGCCGCTTCCCGCGTATCGGGCACTCGCGGCTCTCTAGGTACCCAAGCAGACGAAGAAGAGGACGAACTCGACGACGACGACGACGACAACGACGACAACTCGCGACCCACAAAGCCCACCTCCGCTGCATCCCCTGCTGCTCCTGCAACAGCGGCTGCCTCAAATTCACCCACCGCTACATCAAGTAACGGACCTCCGCCGGCATCATCCAACGGCTACAACATGAGCTGGAGGAAACCTCTGGGCGGCGGCCGTTGGGGCGCGGGGTTCGGGGCGTCCAACGAACGCGGCGGTGACGAAGACACTCCAGAGTCCGAGGCGCCCGCAACGGCAACGCCCGCTATCGGTTCCGAGGCTCCGTCTGCAGCCGTCTCACGCGCTGGCTCCGTTGCGCCCAAGGAGGAGATCGAGTCTGGTCCAGGCACCCCAGCGACAGAGGAGAATGGAGAAAAACCGAAACGGAGGACGTCCAGGAGGTCGACTGCTCAGCCGAAAAGGGAGGACGATGAACCGGCCGCCAAAAAGATCAGGTCCATCGGTCCCAGCACTCCCCCAGAGCCGTGTGCTCCCGCCAAACCTGGCTCTTGTCCAGGTGATGGCCGCTGTAACGGCTCGGGTGGCAACGCGGCGTGTGAAGGTTGTCCCACGTACAACAACACTTTGGCCACACAACAAACGAGCGCCTCCGGCCCCGCCGAGGGTGTCGAACGTCCCTCCGCCAAGCCATCACCGGCAGCTGATCGACCTCCGGAGCGATCCCACCCGTGGGGCCTTAGTCTCATGGCTGGCTTGGGACCTCGCTCGTCTTCGTCCGTCACCAACGAGGCCCGGTACCCGCCTTCCGGTAGCTCGGCGGGCCATCAGCAGGGCACATCGGCTCCCGCTCAAGGCAGCAAAGCCGGCACGCCGGCCGATGGCAAGCAAACTAATCCCACCTCGCCTGAATCGGACGCGGCAGACAAGCCGCCGATCCAGGGGGGCGGCACGCCTGCTGGCAACGGCTTGGCGGCCACGCCTGTAGGTATGAGCTGCAGAAACTGCGGCACCAGCACGACTCCACTATGGCGCCGTGATGAGGAAGGTCGCCCTCAGTGCAATGCCTGCGGTCTCTATCACAAGCTTCATGGCGTCCCCCGCCCAGTCGCCATGAAGAAGACCGTCATCAAACGCCGCAAACGTGTGCCAGCTGTCGCGACCGCAGCTGCTCCCGGCCGCGCCGGCTCCGCCGGTGCTCCACCCCCGCCCCCCCAAGCTCAAGCTCCAGTCGCACACAGCAATCCGTATGACGACAAGGCGCGCCCGTATGGCATGGGCTCACCCTGGGGCCACAGTGCTGCGCAGCGAGACATGGACCCAAGACGTAAGAACATTCCTCTCATCATTCCGACTGCTGGGAACAACTCGGAGCGCAAGAAGCCTTGGTGGATCGAGGACCGCCGTGAACGGGACGAGAAGGAGCGCGAGCATGGAGAGGTGAGTCACTTTTCTGCGGATGTTTGCTAAACAATTAGCTCTCGTCGCACCAGCTAGCTGCGGAAACTCTCCTCTCGATCGCTCCTCAAACTAAAGCGGCAGCAAGCGTCTCCCCTGAGATTGGCCGAGACAAGCTGTCGTCTTCGGGGTCGGCACGGCTCGAGCCCGGTTCCCATCGCATGGACGTCGACTCGAAGGATGACGCTATGCGCGGTGTCAAGCGAAAGGCCGACGAGGACAATCATCTTCCCAGCGCCCACAGCCTAGGATTGGTCGGTCTCGCTGGGGAGAAAGAGCGCGAGCGCTCGCGGGAGCGATACTCGCGCTCTCCCCTAGCGCAGACAACGGACGGTCGTCCGCCCGCCGCGGCCAGCCCCGCCGCACCAGCACCTGCCACGGCCGCTTCTCGTTTGAACGCGAGCACCACGTCTAGCACGACGGCCTCCCCCACCTACACTCCACGCTACTCCATTTATGGACCGAATCCACGCGACTCGGCTATCGGCTCACCGTGGTCCAGCCTTACTGCTGGACGGTATGGGGGCGGCTTCAGCTTCGGTCGGCGTGAGCTCGGATCCTCAGCGGGAACCCCAGCCGCCAGCTCGGCACCAAAGCCAACGCAGCTGTCCCCGCCGCGCCGTCCCTCGCCAGAGATCACTCGCGACGCAAGCGTCTCCCGCTTCTATGGAGGCGGTGTAGGTGGCGGTGTTGGTGTTGGTGGCAACTCGTCATCGCTGTCTTCATCCTACGGCCACTACAGCATGGGACGGAGAGAGTTGGACGAGCACCTGAATCAGCTGCGCGAGGGCAAACGCTGGCTTGAGAGCATGATTGCCAAGACCGAAAAACTCATAACCGTGGTTGAGGGCAAGATCGAGACAACTACTGCGCCCACAGGCCCAGCTTCGGCCCCTACGACGGTTGCTGCTGGCGCTGGTGTCTCTACGGCCGGTGGTGCGCGCCCCAGCAACGAGGACTGGGAGTTCGAGGAGCGCGAAAGGCAAAGGCAACGCGAGTTTAAGCGCCTGGAGGAGGAGGCTCAGCGCGACCGCCTGGAGAAGGAGCGGCGAGACAAGGAGCGTGCCGCGCGCGAGAAGCAGGCAGCGGTGCCTGCCGAGCCCGCGCAGCCCCCTCCCCGCCCCGACTATGGGCTGTATGACCGTGGGCGGCAGGGTCGCACCGATGCCGAGCGACGCGACCTGCTGCTTGCCCGCCGTGTGCCCGCCACTTCGCCAACTGCGCCGACCGCGGCTGCGGCGGCGAACGGGCGCCCACCCAGCACGGGCGCGGGTGAGCGCGAGCGCGAGCGCGAGCGTGTTGCTGCGCCGGCCAAGACGACAGGACTTTGGGACCGAGAGCGCGCGGAACGTGAGCGTGAGCAGGAGGTAGGCGGCAGTGGAGCGAGTGTCGCGCTCCCGCGCCGTGAGCAGGGCCGGATGGGCCGGGGGCTGTGGGCTTTTGAGTCGTCGCGATAGTTTAGTGATTTGTAGCTGTAGTGATGTTGACATTGGTTCATCGCATTCGGAGAAGTGGGAGACTGACGGTCCAAAGACAGATGTCAAGACAACTGATGAGTGGACATCATCGGATATCCTTGATGCTCACGCTGGATGTACGGGATATATCCGCTCGCCCGTGTCGCTCCAACATCTTGAAGGTGCCCCAGGATGATTCCAAATACTCTGAATAAGTGGAAAACTGGACGTCATGTGTTACCGCGGGCTAGCTGTCTGAGTGGTTGTTTTGGGAATCAAATGAGATCTCTGACGTTCTGCATCAATGTCCACCCGATGGCGGTCACCCGCGCCGAGAACAGGCAGCCACCTCCATCCCGGAAAATTGTCGGACGTGCACTGCATCACACAGGCCAGAGCATGGGAAGCCGTGTGCGCAGTATGGCCGAAGGTGCCTCCACTGCAACGCTCACGCTTTTACCCGTGCAAAAAATATAAATACAAACCAGATATGCATCATCCGCAGGCCGAGACCTCGGGCTCGACGACAGACTATAATTGAACCTAAAGTAAGAGAAATATGTTATCACATGGCGGTGCCAGAGCTCGCGCTCGCGGTGCGCGTCTTCTCAGCCTTTTCGGCATTTGCTCTCGCGCCGCGCTTAGCCACCGCCTTTCCGATCTTCGAGTCGGAGAACGTCCATGACGGATTGCGGTCGGTAAGGAACTCGTGCTGCAACAGCTCGATGGCAGTGGGGCGGTCTCGCGGGTTGATGGCGAGGCAGCATTGGTACAGGAACTTGAGCGCCACAGGGGAGAGCTGCACGTCGTTGGGAAGCCGGGGGGTGCAGCGATGGAAGAGCTGGTGTCAGCGGGAATAGGGCAAATGAGCTTACATTCAAAATCACAGTCATCTGCTCCTGCACGTCGTGCCATGGGCGCGCGCCCGTCCACATCTCTAGGACGACGCATCCCAGCGACCAGATGTCTACCTTGCCGCTATAGCTGCTTGCGCCTTGCGGCGCGATAATTTCGGGTGCCATCCAGAAAACCGAGCCCTTCATCATCGTGCCGTTGTTGTTCGAGTCGTACACGTCCGCCGTCTGCTTCGAGATGCCAAAGTCAGAGATTTTGCACACACCGCTCGCGTCGACAAGGATGTTGTCGCCTTTTAGGTCGCGGTGCCAGATACGTTTGTCGTGCAGGTAGGCTAGGCCTTCAAGAATCTGGCGAGTAAAGTATTTGACCAGCTGCTCCTCGAAACGACCCAAGTCGGGCGTGCGGTAGATGGCGGCAATGGTGCCTCCCGGAACATACTCCAGGAAAATCGACACATACTTGGGACTCGTCTCGTAGCCAAGGTAGGCGACGATGTTGGTGTGGTACAAATCCTTGAGGAGGGTTATCTCGCCCTGCAGAGCATCGAGCATGCTCTTCTGCCGTGGGTCGACCGTGCCGTCACCAGACTGCACCTGCTCCACCTGCTTAACTGCCATCATGTCGCCTGAAGTGACATTGAAAGCGAGGTATACTCGGCCGTACGACCCCTTCCCAATCAAGCGGCCCTTGATCCAGTTCAAGGTAACTGGGGTCAGCGAGCCCATGGAAATGTCTCTCTCACCCGGTCGGCCATCCGAAGACGGGGACTCAGGGACTGTAGGCGGAATCTGGTTGTCCTGAGTAACCTCGACTACCTTGTGGCCCCACATGCTCGAAGTACGATGCACGCCGGCTTTATTGTTGGCCTGTCGTGCAATCTCATGGTTGCCAGGACTGCTTGCCCCTTGCTTTTTCATTGACCGCACGCGAAGGTCGGCGACTGTTCGGATGGAGCGACGGTGCTCTGTCCTGTTGAAGGGAGATGCAGCTGCGTTTGCGACAGCCTGGACACCCGCCTGCAGAGCGCCACGTAGATTATTCCTCGGTGCCTCGTCCAACCTGGCATTCTGCACTGTGGAAGGCGTTGGTAGGTATTGGGGGGGGTCCGACGTAGCTCGACGGTATGTGTCGCCAGCGTTGCGCGGTGAACTGGAGGACGGGGTGGGGGGCGTTGACAAGGCGGCCGGGTCCACGAAAGGCTTGTCAATATCAATCTTGGGGAAGAACTCCTGGATATGCTCGTAGAGCTGCTCGGGTTCTGGACGAACGCGCCAATCATTTCCGGGGACGCGGGTGCTGAGCGGCTGGACGCGCTGGATGCTGCCAGTGTCACTCTCGGAATCCGAGGAAAGATCCGCCCCACCGCCTGGGGCCCGTGGAGATGGTGTCGTAAGTGAATTGGAGTCGGTGAACAGTCCTTCGGAGTGGGTGACAGGTCCATGACCATCGATGAGGGGGTCCCAGCGGCCCCATCGGGGATCTCCTAATCCTTGACCGGGTATGAGGGTCGACTCGTCCCCCAGGGGAGGCCGGATTGTGTTAGATTGGGAAGTGATGGTGTCATGGATAGAATTGCTATCCCGCGCTGAATCGAAGGCCGGGTTTGCAGCCGGCCAGTGTCCAGGAGGTACGTAATGATGATTATGCACAGAGTTGCTGTCTTTCGATTCAGGCCCTGAGGGCTCGGCATGATACTGGTAGCCATAGCTTTGTCCGAATGACACGGATGGGTCAGGAATGGGCCATGGCTGGGTCGGTTGGGGTGATGGAAACCGAATAAAAGTACCGTTCGCAACACCGAGATCATGATCATGGTGCGTATTCTGGTATGACTGTGGCTCCAACGTGATTGATGTCGACGAGCTGCCTTGCTGCTCTGAACCGGTCGGGCGGGTGGAGTTGACGCGATGCGGGTTGCGTGTCTCGGGTTGACGTTCTTGATCGCGGGTTGATCCATAAGTAGGAGGCGGAGGGTACCTACTCGTCGAGTTCGTGCTGTGAATGGGCGACGGGGCTGTCTGTGTCCTGATCGGATGCGGGTGAGGCGTCTGCGTTGGCTGGGGCTGTTCGGACACTCGACGGTCTATATGCATCCGAGGGTCTGGATCATACGATGATGAACCGGGAACCCAGGGCTCGGTGACTGTGGTTGCCTTGGAGAAATGCGTACGGCGGTCGGCTCGATCTATATAGAACATGGCACTCCGATCTAGGCCCGGAGTGGACGGCTGCATCGTCGTCTGCGGCGATGCAGCCGGCGTTTGCGGCTGTTGCTGTTGCTGCTCTTGTTGTTGTTGCTGCTCTTGTTGTTGGTCCTGCGCTTGTTGTCGCTGTAGTTCAATCTGTTGCATCAAATGCCAGACTTCGCGTTCGCTTGCTTGCTCTTGCATGGCTAGTTCTTTGTCGGCCGCTTCACGGACTTCACGCTCGATCTTAGCCTGCTGCGCCTCCTCTGCCTCCTCCCAGCACAGTCGTAGAATCATCTCCTTGCTCGCTGGGTCCATATCTGGATCGCTGATAGCAGCCATTGCGGCCGGGTTCGAGATGTCCTGGGAAAAAGTTGATGGACCGGCCGACGGCGCTGTTGATAGGCCGACATGGGAGGAGCCTGACGGAATGAGGTGTTGGCGATAGACGCCCTCGTCGCCGCCGTGAGGACTGGGCGACGATCTCGCACCAATGATGCCAGGCTCGTGGTCAGACGTCGGTTGGAGAAAACCCCGTTGTGCCGAGTCGGATCGCGATCTGCTTTGGACGCCTGCTCCCGAGTCATCAGAGCTGTTGATGCGGTTCATGGTGTATAGGCTTGAGGACGAAGATGCAGCTGTTGCAGCTCCGAGCGGTGAGACACTGGAAGGGGCAGTGACAGGAGGAGAAGAGTCATAGTAGGAGGGAGGTTGGTCGATGGGGGGTGCGTATGACAATACAGGGTCCGTGCTTGCTCGTGTGGGCTGGACGGGAACTGCTGGAAGCGGCGGGCGATTTGACGAGGCTGGCAAATTGCGTGCTGATGATTGACTGGGATGCGAGAGGGGCGAGTGAGCCGGAGCGTGGTCCGTTATCGGGCTCGTATAAGCCTTTCGGTGTCGCTGGGGCTGGGGAGGCGGCTGAGGTGGTCCCCTGTGCTGTTCGCTACCACCTGCTGCGGGAGTGGGATGTGGCAGCGGTGGCGAGATGATAGGCGCATTAGGAATGACGAGTTGACGAGTTGCACTCAATGATCCGGTCACGGCAGAAGGACTGTGACCGTTCTGCCGCTGAGCGATTGCGGAATGGGCCGCGGGGTAGACACCGCCTTTGTGCGGTAGTGGGAGGGACGGAGGGCTGGTGCCACTGGATCCGGCAGCAACAATTGGATCCGAGTTGCGGGTGTGGCTAAATGGGACAGAGGAGTGTACGCCTGAGCCAGCGCGAACGGGAGAGTTACGCACTGGAGAGACGCGAATAGGGGACGGTTCCTCGTCACTGGGGGAATCGTCAGGATTGGCGACCTGCAAGGTTGGCGTGGGCATAGGCGGTCGCCGCCTTCCACGGTTTCGCCCCAAGCTCATCGCCGACGCCGAAACGGGGGTCACGGGCGCCACGGTTGGCGACACGGCCAAAGTGGGTGCTTGTCTGCTAACCATTGTGCGTCATTCGTCTAAGAGGCTGTGGTATGCGCTGCCAGCAAAGCCTATGTGGGTGAGCACCAGGAAGGTTGCGCAGGTAAGAAACGTGCGCAGCGGAGGAGCCAGGTGCGGCACGGACGTGGAATGGGCGTAGAGTGGAGGTGAACGGCGAGCGCAAGTGAACAGGGAGAGGTTCGAGTGAGGCTGATGACGATCCGACGAGAGTATGGTCGCGTCCGTCGTTCACAAACTCCAAGGCCGTTGATGAGTTAGACTTGTGGTTAATGAGCAAGAGTCGAGCTCGGCCCTTGAATATTGAGAGAGGGGAGAGGTGAAACAGTGGTGTGGCCGCGGCGGAAATTGCTGCTGGCGACTTGGAGGCGAACACACGAGCGCAAGCGGCAGGTCACCCCGAGTTCGGGAAACGCAACGCAAGAGGCTTTGTGATACTGGAACGAGAGGTTGCGTGGGCGAGGCAGGGCGAGAATGGGCTTATGGGAAAGGGGGAGAGAGTGAAAGTAGAAGGGGATCGGTATGATATGAACAGCCGCACTTGGCTGGCGACTGGGCAATGGTAATGGCAAGAGTGTGTGTGTGGGGGATTGCGAATGTCTTGCGGTCCTGGCAATGGTTCAAGCTCGGAGGCGATGTGTGAGATGAGGTGGGCGTGAGAGCGACGACTAGGCGTGAGGGGGGGGTTGGAGAGTGAGGGAGGGGCTGGAGATTGAGGAGGAGAATGGAAAGAGAGGGGGAGGGGGGGGGGCTGTGAGAAGAGGGATGGGGAGGGGAGTCGAGGTGTTCTGGTGGAATCTCAAGGCCGAGGGGCTTGGTGTGGCTGTGGTGGCGATTCGTGTTGAGCGGAAGGTGAGTGAGTGAATAGGGGGAAGTGGTGCAAGAGGAGAGCGTAGAGGGATGAGATGGATGAGATGGGTGAGATGGTCGAGAGGTCGAGAGGTTGATGGTGGAGACGACTAGCTCGACGACTTGAAGAATGAATGAATAGATGGATGGCGGAGGAGGACGACGAGGACGAGGAGGAGCAAGGCCAGGAAGGGCGGCGGTGTAGGTCCCCCCCCCGCCCGGCCGGCCAGCCTCGGTTGCCACCCTTGTGCATCACATTTTGTTTCATCCTCCCCTATTACTCGCTCCAAGCAGTGAGAATCTCGAGAGTGGAGACATTTCCCCCTTGTCCCTGTAACCCCTCGTCGTCATCATTCAACCTCCAGCTTTGCTCTCGACATCTCTCATCTATCATCTCTCATCTCTCATCTCTCATCTCCATCATCACCACACACATCACCACCATCCAAGCTTACAAGCTCCCCCTCATGCAGCCAGCTTCAACTTTTTCTGTCATCTGTCACCTCCAGTAATCAGCTTTCTAGCCAACAGGCCTGCGGCGGTAATTAGCGGCTTCTACTTGCCGTCATACCAATCATGCCAAGCCGTGACAGACTTGCCACAAATTGTTGTATCCCAAGTCTCACACCACCAGCTGCGTACTCCTCTTGCACGCATCCTGCACTTATGTATCAACGCCTCGAAACTATCCAATGCAACTCTCCCTAAACCTACCATGTACAACACGTCCAGCTCCATCCATACCATTCACCTCATCTGCCGCACGGCACGCATACTCCCATCCCATCCCTCCATCCCTTCGATCCTCCATACCTTACCAACATCACCCGCAGCCGACCGAACGCGTCAGCACTCGCGTCATGTTTTGTACGCGCCCAGCCTTGCTAACACTAGACGAACTGTTCCGATTCCAACACTTGGGCAGTTGGCCTCGGACGTCGGCTCGCCGCCCCCTATGTGCCCTGTACATGTACAACACATGCACTCCCCAATCCGCTGCCGGATTAAAGGAACCGCACGCCGTCCCCTTCGCCGTCCCCGCTGCGGATAAGCTGCGCCTTGCCCTTCTTGACGAGTGTCTCGAGGCTGCGCCGCAGCAACTGCGCGGGGAGTCCGGCGAATTCTGATGTCAGCGTTCTGGCAACAGAGGCCGGGCTCACCCGCTGTGTACGACGCGTCCCCATCCGTGATCTCATAGAAGGTCATGATTGTTCCCGTCTGGCCGCTGTCGCTTGCCTGTCGTTAGTGTGGCTGCGGTAGTGAAACAGGGTAGACTCGCATGCCAATGGGGCCGCGAATCTCGGAAACTCACCCAGTCGTGAATGACTTGACCCCATTCCTCGGGCTTGCGCCAGTAGAGCAAGTATGTGCTGGCCCCTTTGGATTCGGGTGCGGCGGTCCCTGGCGTAAGCACTCGTATGCAACGAACGAAGCGAGCGGATCCTCGAGGCGTGAGCCCGGTGTGGTCGAAGCGAGGAGTTGCGGATGGGGCCAGGAGGAGAGTGATCAACGAGTTCCGCCGGGAGTGTCTACAACTCTGACGTGCTGTGGGACCAGCAGGCGAAGGGATCCGCACGCGTCTCCGATCTAACACAGTCTCCTGCACGGCGTGGCTACGTACCTTGCTCCGCCATGTGCGCTAGAACCTGCCGAAGCGCAGGTGGAAGGAGGCGGCCTGATGTCAGCTCGACACGGCGAGCTGGTGGAGCTGCGACGCACGCTGGATCTTGCCATTGGTGAACACTTCCCCGGGTTCGGGCGAGTCGGCATTGACGCTGAATACTCGGTCGTGCTTTGCCCAGCCGAGAATGATTTCAGACCAGAGAGTAAGCTGGTGTGCTTGCGTTGAGGGATTGGGCTGGAGGCTTGGGTCAGCGAGCTGCGATCCGCGCGGTACGAGCCCCGATGAGCAAGCAAGAATATCAGCGGGGTGCAGCGAGCCTTAATAAGCAAGCCGGTGTCCGTACGTGGCGCAGGGAGCCTAAGAGCTCGCTGGCGATGTCGAGAGTGTGTCGTGTCGGCAGTGGGGCGGACGCTCAGCTGGCCCAATCCTCCCACCTCTCGCCCCCGGCCGCTCTGTGTGCGGACTTACGTGAAAAACGGAGGAAAGCTCCAGATGGCCGGGAGAACGTATCCACTCTTTGTCGCTGACGAGCGCAGTGGTTCGGCCATGGTGGTGTTGTTGACGATTGACGAATCGTGAGCGGATATACGTCGGGAAGTGGGCTGGTGGAGGTCCGTACGCGACTTTCACCCGCCCTGCTCGTCTCGTCGATGATTCTCATCTCACAATCTCACAATCTCTCTCATCTGCATCACACGCACACTATCCAGCTGCGTCTTGTCAGCACCTTCCAAGGCCTTACCATTCTCACTACGGCCTACGTGCGCGGGCGATCTCGGCTGCGACAGCATCACGGCACTCCGTCCGAGGTGACAGACATCCCCGTCCACCTGCTGTTGTCGGGCCCGCCTTCCTCGGCGTCTTTGCTCTCACCCGCGACGTCTGCAGCACCGCCCTTTCTTGTGCCATTGCACTCACTGTGATCTATCATACTCGCAAGACGCGCCGCCATGCAACCCGCCGACGCCACTACCCACTCCCAGGCCTTCTTCTGCCGGTGGGACTACTGCACGGTCTCCTTTCCTACATTGTCGGCCCTATCCGCGCACCTCCGCGAGCACATTGCCAGCGAGCGCCCCGTGTATATCCCCGTCGCGCGGCGGCGGCGAGCCAACGGCGGGTGGGTGCTGGATGCCTCGGCGTCAACCATGCCCTCTTTCCCATCGAACTCTTTTCCAAGTCCCAGCCAGCCCCACACACACACTCAAAGCTCGCATGCATCCCGACCTTCGATCGACGACTTCCTACCTCCCGCCGACGTCTCGGATCTGGGCTTGGGGGTGGGCGTCGAGGTCGACTTTGACGCCTTCCTCCGCTCCCCTAGTCCGCGGTTCACCTCAACGCCTCTGAGCCAGATTCCTCTGCCCAGCCACCCCTCCGCCCCCTCCGCCACCCAGCCCTCCGCCCCCTCCGCCACCCAGCCCTCCAACGCCCAGCGACAACAGCCGAGTCAGAGTGACGTGAGTAGCGGCGCCCTCGTGTCGCCTCCGAACTCTATGCTGCCGCCGACCCAGCCGCCCCCGCCTGCTACATCCGAGTCGAACGTGAGCGCCTCACCGCGCACATCCCTCCAGTTCGGTGCGGCCGAGACGCCGCGGCGCGTGAGCGCTGGTGGTGTAGGATTTACCTGGGGATCGGGGAAGTAGTCTGGGGATGAAGATGCGAAACAGATTGGCGTAGAGTGGGCGGTCCGACATGTACAAGGTATTCGCTCATAGGTCCTAGATGTATCAATGATCAATAGCAATGTTATGGGTACAAGATGTAAATAAGATGTGACAAATGGTGTAGGGGCGACGACATGCAAGTTCGTGGATCTAGATGGCCTGCTCTTGCAGTCGATTTGGTGCGCTTGCGATCGCACCACCCTGCACGTTGCGATGCGATGTCAGTCTAATGTTATGCTGCAGCAGAAATGTTTGCGCAACCAGAAGCGCTCTCGGCCTCAGCTTGTTCCTTCTTCGTCGCCTCTTCGGCCTTTCGGATGTCGGCAAGCCTGCGCCTCTCCACACCGGCCCAGCGCAGTGCTGCCATCGGCCGGATGGCCTGTACGGCCGCGACGTACTCCTCCTCTTTACCCCAGTACCGGAGGATCGCGGCGTGCGCACTCGGCAGCGGACGCGGCTGGTTAGGCGGCACGGCATTGACAGGTTGCGGCGGCTTGGGTTTCTTGGGCGTGGGCGGCTCCGTCTCGGACTCGGGCGTGGCGCGCTTCAGCCCGTCCTTGGCCTCGGCGAGGCTCTCGGCGGCCTGCTCCTTGCCCGAGCCTGTGCCCGTGCCCGTGCGCTCGCTGCCCTCACTTCCCTCGCTCTTCGCAGGCGACGGAGACCGCGTGCTGGGCCCCCACCCGCGCTCGCGCAGCCACGCCCCGAACACATCCAGGACGGCGACGCGGCTCCTCCCCTGGTGGGTGTACGTGCCCTCGACGAGCCCGTGGCGCGCCATCTGGCGCAGCCCGCGCGCGGCGGGGCTGGCGGCGCCGCAGTCCGCGAACCACGCGAAGAGGTCTTCCTCCGTCGCGGGCTTGGACGCCTCCCACGCGTCCCAACGCAGGCCGAGGTACGCGCACAGCGCGTCCGGGCTGTGCGTGAGCCGTACCTCGGCCTTTGGGCAGCCGGGGTACGGGTCCCAGCGGAGGACGGCGCAGTGGCCTTGCAGCACGAAGTCGCGGCAGGAGGAGGCGCGGCGCACGAGCTGCGAGAGCAGCAGCATCGTCGAGCCGTATGCGTGCGTGAAGCGCTGGAAGGGGACGGCGGGGGGCGGGAGAAGGAGCAGGTCGACTTGCGCGAAGGTGTTCGGCACAAGATCCGCGTACGGGTGGTTCGGGGAGAGGTGGGCGGCTGTGGGCGGCGGGAAGCCCGGTGTCGGCGCCGGCGAGATACCAGCCGGAGAGGTCGGGGCGGTCTCGAATGTTTCTGAGGAGGAAGTGTGCAGCGGTGCAGCACCGTCGCGGTCTATGTCCTCGCTTGTCGTGACTGGCGCGGGTGGTCCCATGTCAAGCAGCTCTGGCACGAAGAACGACCATAGTCTAAGGGCCTCGCGCACGACACGCATGGGGATAGCGACGCTCATCTGCCCGCCTAAGCGGAGCCAGTGCGTGCCCCCAATATGCGCGGTGACGATATCACACCACGTTGCGAGCTGGTTGCCCGGCGACAGAAGGGTTACATCAGCGACGCCAGCCGCACGGAGGGCTGATGCGAGCATTTCTGCTCGGGTGACCCTGCTTAGGTTTACCTTGCCCTCGCCCCGCCCCTTGCCGTTTTCCCACCCGGCCTTGTCCCAGCCCAAGAGGACGTCGATGTCGCCGTGGCTCGCCTTGTTGGAGAGGTAGGGCGCCGTGTCGACGGGCGCGAACGCGTCGAGGCGGAAGAGGAGGTGCAGGCGCAGCGCTTCGTACTCGGGGATGGTGAGGCGCGCTGCGGGGACGGCGAAGGCGTTTCCGCCCATTGCAGCTGGTGTGAAAACGACAGAGGGCGTTAGGGGGTAGGAGGCGAGCAAGAGATGGTCATATAGCGTGAGGAGGGGGGTTCGCGGGCCACCGTGTCGGCATAGCCGGAAGCTCGGAAGTGATGGTGAGGAAGCACAGAAGTGAGAGTGAGCGTGAAATGAGTCGGAGCATGAACCACGGATAACTGACAGACAAACAGCAGAATGATGTGCCGGCATTAGTGGCGACTTCGTGATCCTTGTCTCGTTTGATCGATTGACTCGTTTCGGGCGTGAGCGCATCATCCGATCGGCAACAAAGCACGCCCACGTGCTCGAGATGTTCGACTCGCACTCTGGGCATCCCATGCACCGTGCCCGAGCTGCGCGACGCACAAGACGTCCCCCTTGGACGCTCGATACACAGCCAGCGATGCATGCACACGACAAGGACTAGGCGCTACGAACAATCTATGCGGGAGGACGGGGCGGGAATCTGTCGTCAGTATGATACGGCGGACGCCAGCAGCGCGCGCCGCACTTACCCAGGAGGGAATCCAGGAGGTCCTCCGGGCGGGCGGAATCCAGGCGGCATTCTGCTGTCAGCTGCGGTCCATGGCTCGTAGGTAGTCATAGCGCCCGCTCCTCTGCTGTACCCGCGCTCAGCTCGCCGCTCGTTGATCTGCCCGCCTGCCGGCCCACTCTGTTCGCCTTCCACCTTCTCTCTCTCCTCGTCCCTCCGCCCCACCACCCACGGCATCGCGCGCGCGACTTACCCAGGAGGCATGCCCTGCGGGAACCCAGGCGGCATCCCCGGCGGCGGCGCCATGCCGGGTGGGAAGCCCGGTGGTGGGCGGGCATATGGCATGGGCCGGGCGGCCATCGCGGGCGCGCCGGCGCCAGCGCCGAGCGGCATCCCACGGCCGGCGGGCACGCCGCGGCCGGGTCCCGCAGCGATGCCCGGCCCGTCCGAGGTGGCGGGGGGCGGGCCTTCAACGGACACGGACACGATCGTCTCGCCGCGCAGAATGACGAGGCCGAGGGTGCGCTTCTGCTGTACTGTGGGCGTGGGCTCGCCAGCCGGCGTGTCCTTTGTCTTCTTCCCCTGGGATTAGCGCGTTCAAGACGAGGGGAGGGTAGCGCGAAGCGAGGCGGAGCGCAGGTGACTAAACTGGCGGCGAGGAAGAATGTGGATGCACCTCCTACCCATGCTCTTCCATCGCGACGCCCTTCTCCCTGTGGGCACCGCGCTGTCACCCAGCACCGCTGTCACCCGCGCCATTCCCGCTGCGCCTGCGCCCGCCACACCGCACACGCACCTTGACCGTCCTAAACTCCTCGCACTCGGCCAGGACAAAGTTCATGTGCTTGTCGTATGCCAGCATCTGGCCCACGAGCTGGCGGCCGTCGTTGAGCGTCACCTTGAGACGGTAGTGCAGCAGCGTCACCATCTTCGAGTGCTTTGCCTTGGGGGGCGGCTGGGGTTAGCGCGACTTGAACGCAGTCTGCGCAAGGCGGGACAGTGAAGTGGAGGCAGGCGCGTCATCATAAACAACCCCGTCGCATCGACCTGGACGCCATCCATATGCAGCGCGGCATTACAATTTCATGCAAGTGACAGCGCATGACGGAGAAGCTGTAGCGCAGATGAGGCGCGTCGGGGCGCGCGCGCGAGGCTGCACACTCGTCAACACATCAAGGTACTCACCATTTTGGCTACTGTCTGTTAACTTGTGCGGGTAAGAGTTCAGGGGTCGCCGACGGCGGTCGCGGGAGGTCCGCGGATGGAAACTCGAACGGCGGCGCTGCTGCGTTTAGGTGCTCGGTTTGGCGAGCGCGTCGGGCGGGTGGATGTTATGTTGATGGTGGCGGTCACTGGTGGAGGATTGTTGAGTCTCGACCCCATAACCCAGCTCACCCGGAGCTTCGGGATTTTGGCGCCGTGGCACAGACCTTTTCGTACAACAGTGATACAGGCAAGTTTCGGTGCATAACTTCACAGCTACTTCATCTCCCATCTCCAGTTTTCCTAATAGCTTGAACCATTGTGCGGGGCTGCAAACTCTTCCATGCAATGTCTGTGGTAAGCAAGTAAGAGGATTCTTGTTGACTTTCGACTCACCCGCTCTCAAACCACTCACCATTGTTATAGTTGTTGAGACATTGAACTGACGACTGACTGTCATGGCCTACTGCCTGGCCGCCTGGATTGCCCGCTCCCTCAGGAAGGGCGGCAACCGCTGTTTCGGAGCCACTGTATAGTGAGTGGCATCGGCGGAGCGGTTGCTGTCGGGTGTCACAGAAGCTCTGGCTCGCATTGCTTGCGTGAGGAGCGTTGACGGGTGGACGAGGAAGAACTTACCAGTCGTCCGGCTCTTACGTCCCCGCGCTCCGAGCACAAGGGGCCCATCCTCCGGAAACCCGATACGGATCAGCGGGCCGATGAGAGGAGGTAGCGCGTTCGAGTCGGGAAGAGAACGCGCGCGCCTTCGTCGGCGCCGATCGCGCGGAGGCTGTTTAAGGGGGCGAGATTGCCTTTCGGCAGGTGTCTGCCTGTTGCGGTGAAGATCGTAACTCTGTTGCTGTGATTGAGGGAAGCTGCCGTACTGTGCGACAAGAGACTGGGATGACGAGCGCATGATAATGTGATACGGCGCCAGTCGATGCCCACGCAGCGCGAGGTCGACATTGTTCCTCCAATGCAGAATGGAGGCGAACGGGACGGGGAGGCCGTGGCGGTAGGCGAGTGACGACTGGTCGACCCACTGGGGAGGCTGGAGCCAGATGGGTGGTGAGTCATCGACATGCGGCGCGTTGGAGGGAATATCGAGGGAAGGTCCGTCAAAGTCACGCGGGCGCCTGGGGCTGGGGTGGACACTGGCGCTCCAGGCATTGATTTTGGCAACGTTGAATCTGCTGAGGTCGCCGTGTCGCCAGACGGCGCGGGCATTCGCCTTCGAAGAGGGCGCGAAGTCAGCGTGGGGATCGGGAGAGAAGGTGGGAGGGGAGATGTGTTGGGCGTGCGTGTGGCGCCTTTGGAGGTCGGGGTGCGCGGCGGGCATGCGCATGGCAGTTGGCAAGTGACGGGGACAGGAAGCAAGGGAAACTGAACGTGGCGGGCGGCGGTAAGGCTCGGATGTACAGGACGTGACAAGGAGGAGGAGGAAGAGTGAGAAGACGAGGATGAAGATGAGGACGATGATGAGGACGATGATGAGATGGGGTGTTATAGTGCGAGAAAGGCCAAGGAAGGTAGGCCATGTCTGTCGTGTCCCCTTGTCGTTGACTGTGAACATCAAACACCGTCATCAATCAGCAAGTGAGTCCTCCACAACACCTCGTCGCGGGACTCGAAGAATACTTCTAATTTTGGTTGCTATATGCTAACTCTCCTCCCTCGCGCTCTCGCCGCTCACAATCTAGCTGCACCCTACTGTGTCGCTTCTGCCAATGCCTCCCTGGCGGAGCGGCGCCAGCCCTCGTTGTCGCGGCGGCGCAGCTCGCTCAGCCACACCTTGAACTGCTTGTTTGTGCCGAGGATGTCGTCGAGCAGGCCGGTCGGCCCGAAGTTTTCAGTGAACGCGTCTGGTGTCAGCCGACGGGAGGTACGACTCTGTGCTAACTCACAGTGGTGCCAGTCGTGGACGAGCGCGTCGTACAGTCCGGGAATGTTGTAGTCGGAGCTGCGGTTAGATTGGGCCCCAACGCAGCCAAAGCCGGAAGGTGACACTCACTGAGTCGTCAGCGTGCCGATTTCGAGACTGCAGAAGAAGAGGATCATGAGCGACCAATGCGGGCGCATGAGGACGATGCCGATGGCGATCGGGCCGATGTTGGACTGGCGTGAGCGGGCTCTCCGAAGGGCGACTCACAAACACCTGCTCGGCCATGGTGCAGTATGTGCTAGCGAACGCGACGGGCGCCGTGAACTGGTGGTGCATTTTGTGCACGCGCGCATAGAGCTTGGGGTGGTGTACGAGGCGGTGGACGGAGTAGAACCCGGCCTCCTCGCAGAACATGCAGCCAAAGTAGACGCCGAACGTCTTCCACCATCCGGGGAGGTTGCTGGATGTGTCGAGCGGGGAAAAGCGCGCGACGAGGTAGATGAGGGGGAGGTTGACGAAGATCTGGTTTTTGAGCACGCAGCGCAGGACTTGGCGGTACTCTTGCCAGGTGATGCGGCGGTCGGGCTGGATCTTGAAGCGCGCGACGGTGGCGTGCAGCGTGTCGTTCATGTCAAAGGCCATGAAGATGAGCCCAATGATCCAGTACACGGCGCTCGAGACGATCCATGTGCCCCAGAGGTTGATGTTGAAGGTGCCATACTTGGCGGTGAGCGAGTCGTAGAGCTGTCCTGTGGCGGGCTGCTGGTTGATCCAGTAGGTGAGGTAGATGATGCCGACGGTTAGGACGTGCTGCCAGATGCCGTCTTGGTTGATGCGCGCGGAGGCTTGGAGTGCCCAGTTGTGCTCCTCTGTGGTTGGAAGAGGAGTGGCGAAGGTAGAACGCGAAGAATGCGAGCAAGTAAGTGGAAGACAACGCACAACCGATCAAAGCCAAAGGGAAGCGTCAGTGTCTGTGCGGACCCCGCTCACGATCGCGCGGCCAACTCACTGCCTTTGTACGTGCCACCAGCGGGCTTGTTGTCATCGGCCTTGGCGTCCTTGCCATTACCATTCTTGAGGGGGGACATGGATGCGGAAGCAGGCGCAGGAGCAGGCCGGCGCACTGCACCGCCCATGATGATGGGAGAGTCGCTTATCATTGTGCCTGAGGGACGGTCGGGGTGGTCGCTGTCCAATCCAGGTGTGCCGATTGCAGGGCGGTGGCCGGTGCGGACGGAGTGCGAGTGCGAGTGCGAGTGCGAGTGCGTGATGGACGGAATTGTGATGGCTTTTGACAAGGACAGCGAGGGCTTATAAAGTACAGAAAAAGAGTATGGCGTGGGACGATGCTCCTGCGAGCCTGCGAGCCTGCGAACACAGTGTGGTTGCTGAGAACAAGTGTGGCTGGAGACGGAAGAGATGAGACGACGCTAGCCCACGAAGGCCACAAAGGCTCATAGCCGCTCATCAATCACCGCGCCGGTCATCCATCCCCTTGGGCCCTTGACACATGACACATGCTCGGCATATCGCACCATCAAGGCACCCGCGCACCCCGTCCACCGCAAGCATAATACGTCAGTTTCCTCCCGATCCCGAATCATCGACAGCATGCATACAAAGACATGGATGCACTATGATAAGTCTGATCTTGTTACAACACTGTGTGCGCGCAGCTGATCCGTGTCCTCACACCCCGCCCAGAGATCGCTGCACAATCAAGGTCGGCCAGTCGCGTACGCCGCAGGGGCGCTCGACCCCGCATGCTCGCCCCAGCGTCCCGGACGCGGCGGACCATTGTAAAACGGAGCGGCCGAATCCCGGCGCACCCAATCGTTGTTGCGACCCCACATTCCATCACCACTCAAAGTAGCCGTGGGCGGCTGTGGAGGCGGGGGCGGGCCCGTCGCCGTCGCGGTCTGAGGAGGGCGCATCGGAATAGACGGCGCTGGTGGTCGATACGCGGTCTCATGCCACCCGTTACGGTAATAACCTGCTGGAGGTGGTGGCTGTGTGGGAGGCGGCGCTGGCGGGGGAGGACCATTGAAACTCGGTGCCGGGCGATGGTACCACGTACGACTATCGCGGAATGGCGGCATGCGATGATCGAGCGGGTCGTCGTGCGCACGCCGAACGAGTGGCGGTTCGGGGAGGGCACGGAGATCGCGCGGGTCACGCGGGTCACGCGAGTCACGCGGGTCTCGGGGGTCTCGGAGGTCTCGAGGATCGCGGGGGTCGCGTGGATCGCGGGGTTCGCGGGGGTCTCGGCTATCGCGCAGCTCGCGAGGATCACCCCGAGGGTCGCGGTGGAGCAGAGGGTCATCGCGGAGAGGGAGAGGCGGCTCCTCTGTGCGTGACGGGCGGCGCTCAAACTCGTCCCAGCGGCGATCCGGGGGTGGAGGTGGCGCGAAGCGCGACGTAGGGCCGGCCTGAGGGGGCGGGGGAAGGCGTCCAGCCATTATGCCGGGCGGGGGAGGGAGGTTGTAGGGCGCCGAGGGCGAGTGCATATGGGCGGACCGCGGAATTGGGCTTCGCCTCAACTCGGGAGGAGGAGGGAGGGCTGGGGTGGGTGTTGTCCGTGCAGGCGGCGCGGGAAGACGAGCCGACGGCGGAGCGGGCTGCACTGCTGGTGACAGGTCGAGGAGCAACGGAATCGGGTCGTCCACTACCATGGGCTCGTCGTCATCGTCGTCGTCTTCCTCTGACTCTGGCTCAGGAGTGGGCTCAGGTTCCGGCTGACGCAGGCCCAGCTCGATGAGATCCTCCATAGTCTCTTCTGCTGTCGCAGACTCGGGTCCCATGACAACGCGGCGGCGCTTGCGGATCGTGCCGTCCTTGACCACATACGCCGTGTCCTCGGACTGGTCGGAGATGAGCGAGGTAGGGTGACGGTACCATCCACCGCATCCACGGCCCTCGCCAAGCATAGGCATGTTGGTGAACATGCGCTTGGTGCTGGGACGCCCGTCGTTCAAGTCGTGATAAACCTTCTCTGCAGAGAGACGTGACTTTTTCCTGGCAAACTCGTAGGTCATTTGGAGCGCACATTCCTCACGATCAGACTAGGTAGGGGTTAGTTCAACTGCGCTTCCAATGGATTCGACACTCTGTAGACTCACGCGAAACTGGAACATGTTTTGCTTTTGTTCAAGTTCAAACATCCTCTTGAGCTCCGCCTGCTGCGCCTCATGTTGAGCGTCACGAAACCCGATAATCTTCTTGTACCGGCCTTCCAGCTCATTCAACAAGCGGATCAGATCTGGGTGGGTGTCGTTGTGGATTTGCTTCTCCTGCTCGTCGAGAGAGGCCAAGGCAAGGTCAATTGCCTCATGACGCGCCTTTTGGGCAGCGACGGCCTCGGGGTCGTCGGGATCAACCTCACCTCGGCGGAGAGGACGCTTGCGTTTCCGTCTAGGCTGGCGTTTCGGCTTGTCGTCAGGAACGGGCGTGGAGGTCTCCGTGGCGGCGACAGCCGTGGCGGCAGCAATGTTGTCAATGTTGGCATCTGCGGAAGTCTCAACAGGGAAGGAGGCACCAGCCGGGGCCTCAGTGGCGGGGATGAGCGTGGGTGTGGGCGTAGGACTGGAAGTGACAGTGGCAGTGGCTGTCGAAGTTGGAGCGGCCGTAATTGTATTGCTGGCTGCATCGGCGTTGTCATCTTCGGCGTGCTGGGTAATGGAGATTGTCATGGTGGAGGGAGGTTGTGGTGGTGGTGGTGGTGGTGGTGGGGGTGATGGTGGGGGAGTTTTGGTGGGAGGAGTGTGATCGCCGCCGGGGGGCTGAGCCTCGGCGGCAGTCTCGGCCCTGATTTCATCAGGGCTACCAGTGGTGACTGCTGGCGGCGCAAAGCCTGGGTCGGGGACCTCCCCAACTGGTGTAGCGTCCGTTGGAGTCGAGCTGGGTTCGCGAGTCTGCATACCACTCGCAGATGCGGCAGCGGGTGATGCAGACCCATCAGCAGCGTGTTTGGACGGAGGAGGCCTAATGACGAGCCTTATGCTCTGGGTCTTCTTGAAGGGAGCGATCCGATCGCCGCTGTCGGCAGAGTTGATTGCACTACTCTTGATTCCATTGCCCTCGTCCGGCTTTGCTTGTTCGTCAATGTCGAGGTGATCTTCACCACCATCACCGTTGGCGACGGGAGGGGAGTTGTCACCCATGAGGATATCTTCGGAGGGGTGATGGTGATGGGTATGGTGGCCGTTTGTCAAAGGGCGAGTTGAAGGCGACGAGGTCTTGATGGTGATATTCTCCGCTGCTGGCGGAGAGGGAGAACGGCTGGCGGCGGTGGGCGGAGGCATTTTCTCTGGCGACTTTGAAGAGTGACCGCTGCGACGTGAGGCTCGGGTCGAGGGTGCCGGTGGAGGTGGGGCAGAGTGAGGGGGGGAGGCGCTGTCACCTGAGCGGGAGGCCGAAGAGCGACTGCGAGTGTTGCGCAGAGACTTGAGGGGGTTCTTTGCGGAGGATGAATGTGTAGGAGAGGGAGACTGGCTTGTGGTTGGGTCCGGAATAGGAGTGGTGGTGGTTGTGTGAGGAGGGGCGGCGGGGGACGGAATTGGGGGAGGGGTTGTTGGTGATGGGCCCAGTTGGGGGGCGAGGGTGGTGGATGCAGACATTGTGGTGTTGGCGTCGAGAGGAGGAGGAGGAGGAGGAGGAGGAGGAGGGGAGGGAGGAGCAGTGGATGGGCCTGGGTAAAAAACAAAAAGAGTCAGCGGGTTATAGGACGGCGACGGAGAGCATGGTGTGGTGGATGATGGATGATGAGGAGGCCGAGGAGGAGGGAGAAAGAAGAGAAGAGGGCAATAGGATAAGGATGATTAGGGTGATTAGAAACAATCAAGAGCGAGAGGAGGATCGGAGGAAAGTTTAGAGAGAAGGGGAAGAGAGGGCCAACAGGGTCATGTTCAGAGCAAAGACGGTATTTCCCCTGCAGTCTCGGCCCTGACGTGTCGAGAGATTCAACACGACCAAAACACAGGGGGTTACGTAACGAGTGGCGTTTGCGGGGTCTCCGCCATCGATAATCGTAAAGTGGGGGGTCGATATAAAACAGGGCGAGATGATGATGATGGAGGTCGAGGGCGACAAACCCTGAAACGACGACACAAACGAACAGGTCCGCTTTTTCCTTTTCGGCTCAGGCAATCAACGCCATGAGGCAGCAGCCAGGCAGGCACGCACGCTCACCACCACCACCACCACCACCACCTCCCCCTCCTCGGCCTCGGCAGTAGCAGTGACCATGCACAATGCACATGCACATCCCACCCCTCCCTCTCCATCTCTCCTTGTGCACACTGTCGCGCGTCCAAAGAGGCCAAGGAAACATGTGATGAAACATGGACGCTGTCGGTGGAGGTCGATCCGTGCCATACCCCCCCCCCACTAGTCCGAGAAGCACACCACCCCGACTGAACGCCCCGTCCGTCGCCTGTCGCCCCACTTACCCGCTCTCTCCCATCCTCATCCACCCCGTGTGCAGGGTTACCCCACACTATTGAATGCAAATTCGGGTGTGTGGGAGGTGCGGTGAGGACCCAACGCACATTTGCGTGGCTTGGAGGACGTGCACCGGGCCTGATTGGTCTTTTTGTCGCCGCGCGGCGTCGGCACGCACCAGCCACGGCAAGGCGTGCGAGGCTGAGCGTGCTCGCATGCGTGACGCGGGGGCCGACTAGAGACACGAGGAGAGAGGGGAATGGAAAGTAGAGGGAGGATGGGAGGGGGAAAGAGAACAAAGCAGAGAGGAAGCCATCACAAGACACAGAGCGCGATTACAGACAAGAAGAGAAAGGAGTGTGGAGAGGGAGGATGAAGAGAGGGGGGGATGGATGGGTAGTGTAACTCACAGTGTGCCCGAGGGAGATGAAGAGTGTTGACAGAGATGTTTGGTTGTGAGTTGTTGACGGATGTTGTGTTGGTGGATAGGAAGGGGGTTGATTCAGTTGAGGGAGGGAGGGAGGGA